CAGGGACCCTACATTGAATTTTCTGCACATGGGACCGGTTGCTAGCCAGTATAAAATTGCAAGATTATGTACCTAGTGAGCCTAACTTGGTTTTAACATTTAAGCAATGGAACTCTTTATCAAGAGACTAACTCAAACCGATATTAACAAAAGATTAGCTATCCCAACTAGCAGTTTGGTTTATTTTCCAGGTTTCAGAGGAAATCATTCGGTTGAATTGAAGGTTAAGGACAAAAGCCATCGTCTATGGACTTTTCACTGCTCCATCCGAAAGAAAAGATACCTTAAACCTGTATTTTCTTCAGGCTGGCTGGAATTTATTCGCAGCAACAACCTCAGAATTGGCGATAAAGTCTCTGTTTTCTTGGAACAAGGGCATGTTAGTGGAGTGCGATACGGAATTGAAGTGCAGAGGAAAATCAGATTACTCGGCAAGGATGTTTGGGCTGATGTGCTCTAGCCTTAAGTATGGTATGTGTGTGGTAAACTTCCTTGTTTCTCTGTAGTTTTTCCCTTTTTTTCTAACTTTCTTTTGTTGTTAAAAGTACTACTAGGATTAGAGGTTAAACCCCTTTTTCTTAGTGGACAGATGTGGCTATTTATATAATTTATGTACATCTTGCTATGGCTTTTGGCCAAGTTTGGTTTTCTCTTCTGTTGTTAGGTGCTCTTACACTTCTCTATACATGTATTATGATGGCAAATTAAATTACTTCTCCAACGCACCACATATCATATACGCATGCAAAGTGCAGAAGCAAAACATTCTGCAAAAACATTCCATCAGAAACTTTAGTAGATTGGTGCAAAAAACGTGGGAGACTAAACAAGAAACTGTTGAGAATAAAAGAGAGTGGTGCATGGCATTTATCTTTGAGAGCGGTAGCCAAACGATCGGATGAACGTGCTGAGGATCAAGTGCAATCTTTGATAAGGTACGCAGTTGACACCTTTGCAGAAACAAACTGATGATTCAATAAACATGCAAATGAAATTCAGAGTGATCGAAACCATTTCTCTTGTGGCATTAACATTTAAGACAGTCTTTAATTATGTCATTCTCAGAAGCTTGGAGAAAAGAGATGAGAGACAGAAGGGAGGATGAAGAAGACTCAATGAAAGCGATAGATCAGTCGATGCCTCTTGGAGAAACCAACCAAACTATAATGATGGTGCCGTCGTTGCTGTTGACTTAGTTTTAATTAAATCATCCTCCCATTTTTTTGGAGAAATCCGCTGCCATTTCTATATATATCTCATCTCACTTTTTTATTATTAAAAACAATTCAAGTATATTACTTTTTTATCAATTTTTACTTTAAAATTTTATGACGTATAAAACATATCTTAAATTATATTGAGAGTCTCAAATGTAAAATTATAAACTCACTTTTCAAATATATTTTTAACAAGACAACGATAATTACTGACAAGTTAATAAAAACCAGAATCTTTCGAATTAAAGATTTTTTTACTATTCTATAATTTTTTTCTTTTTTCATACGAGAAACCTTTGCCCCTGTACTTAGCAAATTCAATCAACAGAAGCAGCCAAAGGGACAACAGGGCGATGAACCAAAGAGGGCGGCTCTACCAGAACGCCATAGGGTCTGCGTCTGATCGACAGGGCCCCCTTCGACATAGTTGAGTTGTAGCCGTCACTTGTCGCGAAATCATTTCAACAGCTCTGGAAATAAACAATTCAAGGGTGACCGACTTTCTTTAATAGAAAGGATTGTACTAGTACTATCACGATCAAAAAGAGCTAGAAAGGCAGAAATTCTTTCAGACAGGTCTGTTTTTGGCAACATTTGATTGGCTGCTATCATAAGCCAGCTGAAAATAAATATAATATTTGAATATTTGATTTAATGGTTAATAATATATAAGTTTTGTTTAAAATTGATCGAATAAGAAAAATTAACTTGAGTCTTGATGTCATTTTTGTCTTATTCTTATGTAATGGACTTTTTTTAAATAAATAAATATCTTGATTGAGCAAAAAAGAAAATCACTATTAAATTGTGAAATTGTATGAAGGGAACCTAGACTCAAAAAAATAAGAAATTTCATTGAGTAACACTTTCAAGTCAAATTTAGTGCATATGATTAGATCATTAGAGTTAGATATAATAATTTTTGTAGATTGAACACTAAATTTATGATTTTATTTAGATAAATTTAAAGGTATCATATGATCTAATTATCAAAGACATAGGATTTGTGTAATCTTATTTGGCATATAAGTTTTCATGACAAGAATATATATTTTAGTTATTTATGCATAAAAAACAAGATGGAGAAATCATTAAAAGTAACATACATTCAAGGGTAATTTATCATGGAGAAATGTAGAGTATAAAATGCATTGGTGATCCTTCATTTTAATCCCTAATCTTTTAATTATATCATTTTAACTATAACTCTTTTCTAAATAATTTTTACAATTGAATAATTTTTATTTTATTTACAATTTACACTAAAATAAATGCAATCATTTACTTTAGGTGCAATTGGCATTCATGAAAACACATGCAAATATAAATATATAACAGAGAGATTATATATTCAAATATGCTTGTAAGGAGATTATTTTAAAAAGTTAGAATTGTCATATTCATCATATTTATCGTGAATTTAATTTTCATACAGATTGAATAACTTATGATGTCAAGCATTTTGCACAAATTTTCAAAACCATCCAATGATATTTAGAATCTACTTAATAATGATATTTTGAGCGTATGTATACTCGGGTTAATTAAATTGTAAAAGTATTTTTCTTGTATTGATAATAAAAAAACATTATTTATGAAATGCAATCACCTTACCAATCAATATAATCCCCTCTAAATGTTTATTTTCTAATTAACAAGTATACATCATGTGGTCAAACTAATGTTTGTTCAAAATTTGACAGCTCGTGAATACCCGCTATCATGTACTTGACTAATACATGGCTGCTAATTTTCTAGGGGGATAAAGTTTGTGGGCAAACTCAAAGGCTGTAGCCATTCCTATTCCCATTCCCTATAACCCACGTGATGAAATTCACTCCAAAATCCAAATATTTGAAGGAGACTGGATCCGCATGGCAATTCTTAACCTAGCAATTCAGCCTCAACATCAACATCAAGACGTTGAATAAAGAAAAGACAGAAATCTCCCCAACGCCCTTTGCTTCATTATAATATTTTGTTAACACTCAAAAATTTAATTCAAAAATTATCATTTGTATTTTTATAAAAAAAAATTCAAATTTAAAATTATAAAAGAAAAACTACTGACAGATGCATGTCATCTATCTATATATATATATATATATATATATATATATATATATAAATTATATATAATAATGGAATTAAACTGTACGTCGACTATTAGTGTGGTTGAACATAAGTCTACCGCACCTGCAGAGATATACTGAACTCAGCATCACGTGTTTTCAAAGCTTTATTATATTAATCAAACTTTTTTCACGTTTTTCAGAAAAAAATAATGGAACGTCTACAATTTGTGTGGGACACACCAGCCCGTTGGACTAATATTTTCCAAGCCTTGAACCCTTATAGTTCATTGAATCTTCGTTTTGGAGGTATCCTACCTGATTTTAGTCTTTAATTAATTAATTTCTCATACCTCTCTGATTGAAGATAATACAACTTCGTTTTCACTTGAGAAGTACTGATCACAGGCTGAGCAGAAAAAAAAAAGTTCTGATCACAGATTGTTGCTGCTTTCTGGGGCATAGAAAGAAATCGTCTCAAGAGTCGCTTTCATATAACATAAGGTAAACCATGGTGGCTCCATTGATTCTGGGCTTGGATTACGATTTTCGTCACAATTAAATTAAGAATTGTTCTGCTGAGCACCATTGGCATTTGGTATGAGGGCGAATGACATGACCATTTGCGAGTGATTTTTGTAGGTTTTTGTTTTTTTAAGAGCTTTTCTTGTATTCATAAGATAAATACAAAAACGGGCTTGTGATTTAATCAAACAAAGGCAAAGCCGCTAAAGGAATCACATAGCCCCCCAGATTACATCAGCATGATCTTTTTTTTTTTTGAAAGGTAAAGATTTTATTAAACAAACAGGGAATGAAGGGATCCCTGTGCAATAACAACCAGAAAACAGCAGATGCAGCAAAACAGGAACAACAAAACAAACCGACCAAGGATGAGAAACCACAACAGAAAGATCAATCCTGGCCAGAAAACAAGAACAAAACAACAAGAGACAACCCTGCAAAAAAACAACCAGGAGGGACAGAAAATAAAAACCCAACAGCAGTAGAGACACAAAGATTCAATTGGAACAAACATCAAGTCATAAAGACGCAGCAAAACTCAGGGAAAACCATGATGAAATCAGAAGCTCTGCCTACCAGCATGATCTCTGTCGGACATATGCTGTGCACACTCAAATTAATTTTGTTAGCTAGCAAAACCAAAATGTCTTATCTGAAGTTGCAGGACTTATATCCATTGGCTAGGGTATAATCGTTCATCTCATAAACTGATGAGTAGCAATTTTGAGAAATATAATTGTGGAAGAGTATCAGAGAAAGATGTTTTCGTGATGTTATTGTATTTGTTAATTCTCTTGTTAAATTCGGCATCGATTGATCAGAGATGTTTTATATATAATGTTATACAGATTCATCCCAACTTGACATGGATTCATATAACTTTGGTTTTATTAACTCAATAATTTTACACTGACTTGTTTTCATTGAGGAATTGAGGAAAAAGACCATTAAGAACCTTGCCTGATTCCATCCGATAAAGAAATAAGATTACTGCTAGTAATTAGTTTAAGCTAGTAATGGCTAGTAAAACTAGTCAAAATCAAGCTATCAGATTCTTAAATGAATTACCCCTTGATTTTCTCTGGGACCATACATTGAATTTTCTGCACTTGGGACCGATTGCTGCCAGTATAAAATTGCAAGACTATATACCTAGTGAGACTAACTTGGTTTTAACATTTAAACAATGGAACTCTTTATCAAGAGACTAACTCCAACCGATATTGACAAAAGATTAGCAATCCCAACTAACAGTTTGGTTTATTTTCCAGGTTTCAGAGGGAATCATTCCGTTGATTTGAAGGTTAAGGACAAAAGCCATCGTCTATGGACTTTTCGCTGCTCCATCCGAAAGAAAAGATACCTTAAACCTGTATTTTCTTCAGGGTGGCTCGAATTTGTTCGCAGCAACAACCTCAGAATTGGCGATAAAGTCTCTGTTCGCTTGGAACAAGGGCATGTTAGTGGAGTGGAATACGGAATTGAAGTGCAGAGGAAAATCAGATTACTTGGTAAGGATGTTTGGGCTGATGTGCTCTAGCCTTAGGTACGGTATAATACATATGTGAAACATCCCTGTTCCTTATTGGAGAAACGTGGCTAGGGCTTTTGGCCAAGTTTGATTTTCTCTTGTATTGTTAATTGCTTTTACACTTCTCTATACATGCCAAGTTTGGTTTCTCTTGTGTATAAGTATGATGGCAAATTAGATTACTTCTCCAACATGCCGCCATATATCATATACGCATGCAAAGTGCAGAAGCAAAACATTCTGCAAAAACATTATAGCAGAAACTTTAGTAGATTGGTGCAAAAAACGTGGGAGACTAAACAAGAAACTGTTAAGAAAAAAAGAGAGTGGTGCATGGCATCTATCGTCGAGAGCGGTAGCCCAACGATCTGATGAGCGTGCTGTGGATCAAGTGCAATCTTTGATAAGGTACGCAGCCCACCCTTTGCAGAAACAAACTGATGATTCAATGAACATGCAAATGAAATTCAGAGTGATTGAAACCATTTCGCTGGCAGCATTAAATGCTAGTTTTTAGTTATGTTATTTTCAGAAGCTTGGAGAAAGGACGATCAAGAAGATTCAATGAAAGAGATAGAGCCAGCGCCGCTAAGAGAAACCAACCGATGGTGCTGTGGTTGCTGTTGACTTATATATATATATATAAAAGAAACATTCGATGCTATTCAGGGATAGATAATTGACATATATATAGAACGTAGATTAATGTACTCTTTGGATCTCATCTCTTTTTTTTATTATTAAAAACGATTTGAGTATGTTATCTTTTGAATCAACTATCACTATACCCTAAATTTTCATAAAGTGTGAAACATATCTTAAATCATATCGAGAGTCTCAAATGCAAAATTATAAATTTATCCTTCAAGCATATTTTTAACAAGATAAACATCATTGCTAATGAGTTTATCAAAGCAGGAATATTTTTTGCTATTTTATAAATCTTTTCTCTTCTCATATGTATATTCATAAAAAATATATTTTTTTACTTTTCAAAAAAAATATGAAAGAGTATTTTTAAAAATTTCTCCAAAATTAAATTTCTAACCAGAAACAAATTGGACCAGAGGTTGAGGCATTGCAACTCAGCAGAGCACACGTTGTCAAGGCCCAATTTCTTGGAAATTAAGGATTTTAGACCTTTAGGTTTGTGAATCAGAAGTTATTCCAACCCCAGACTTGCTTTATTCCCACTCAAGCAAACACATAATACTTTGAAAATGGTTAAGTACATCACTTCTCTACTTCTATATTGTTCCTGTTCGGCCCTGCAAGTGATGGATACCTATTGGGTTTCTAGCTATTCATTTACTCTTTCAATCGTCAAAGAACTTTGGGGTGCATGTTATAATTCAATTTACAAGGCATTTCAAACTGTCAATTTGAGTAGTAAAGATAGTTTTTTTGTCAGGCTCCAGGGTTTACTACGTTCGTGAAAGGATTTTTTGCTGCTTTCAATCATTTCATCTAACCCTTTCTGCAGTAATTTACCCATTCTTGAAGTTGCAAGCCAATGCTTGAGAAACCATATTTCATCGTTAAATCTTCTTACATGATAGAACCAGGAGTTGCAAAACTCACAATTCTACTCCTAAACCATTATTCATTACTTTGTATTAAAAATTAAAACTACTACTACGACCTTAAGCAATTAATTTTTTTAATAATGTCATGGAAACAGGATATCACAACTCAATACATGCAATTTTAATCAAAGGTAAATACCAATTGCAATGACTAGAATGGCTTTTAGGCAAAAGTATACAAAGTTGCAAGAATTCGACATTAAAACAAATTTGATTTAAAGCAGCATGGTTTTAAAATATGCTATTTAAAATATTTTTAGCAATAATTTTTGTAAATTTTTAATAAATTTTTTATAAATTTGATTACATTATATAAATTTTTAAAAACATTATGAATAAAATGTAATTATAAAGGTTGGATACATTGATAAAGACTGTTTTCTTGATCTTGTAATTAAATGCAAAAATATTTAAATAACCTGCATTCTTTTTAATGGCTACTGCATTTTTTTTTAAAAAAAAATCTTAATGGCTACTGCATTCATGTACGTGTAATCTACATGAAAACTTAAATTGATGTGTGCTGAACAAAAAAAAATTTAAATTGATGTATGGGTCGAAGGAAATCTTTGTCGTAGACATGTTCCACCACTGCTAACCTCGGAAGAAGTTTCTTCTACTTCCAATTCTCTCATTTAATTACCTTAAATTGTGAATAATTTCCAGGAACCGACATAGCACAATGAAACCAGACTTCGACGTTAATAATGTTTGAGGAGGCTTTGGATCTACCATGGCTGAACCTTAGAATTCAACCAAATTTTGAGCTGCATGGCTTAGTAAAAGAAAACAAAGTAAATTTTAAGAATGGCTCTTAATTTAACTCAGAATGGGAAGTGGGACATAGATTCGTTTGTCGTTTAACTCAGAGATGAACCCTCAAATTGATGAATCATGTGATAATCACACAAAAGGGATGTATTTAGGAACAAAATGCAGATAGATCCAACGCAGAAACGAAACCCCTTAATTACCATTACTTTATTTCGGGACACGTCTGAACTCCAAGTTACAAACCTGTCATTCATCTAGCTTAATCACATTCCAACTGGCGATTCCCATGATGCAATTCTCGCCAAATTTAAGAGCCGTTTCACTTGCCTGATAACACACAACCCGTGCTGATTATCATCTCTCTTTCTCTCTCTCTCTCTCTCTGTGCCTATGCGATTTCTCACACTGTGTGAACACACCCTCTCATGGCAGGAGAAGCAAGCAAGGATGTGATCAAAATTGAGGCTTCAGAGATTGAACCCATTTCAGTTCAACGATGCAGCAGCCCTGTGCCAGAGACGGAGCGAATCAGGTACAAAGAATGCAGGCGCAACCATGCGGCTTCCTTTGGCCGCTATGTTTTTGATGGTTGTGGAGAGTTCATCGGTTGCAATGACGATGCATTCATGTGTGCTGCATGCGGCTGTCACCGCAGCTTCCACCGCAAAGAGCCTCCTAACAACTTCAACAACGCTGCTCTGCCTCCTCCTCATCAACCAACGCCGCCTCAAAGACCACTGCTGTCACCCCTGCCTTTAGCATCCCACAATGGACTCACTGGTGAGACTACTCTATTCCCTAGGGACAGGAATATTGATGCAGGTTCGGAAACACTCAGTGGAGCCGAGGTAGAAGAACCAAAAGACACGAAGAAGAGGGCAAAGAGAACTAGGATTACGATGGAGCAGAAGACCAAAATGATGCGGTTTGCTGACAAGTTAGGGTGGAGGCCCCAGAAGCACGATGATGCTGAGGTACAACAGTTCTGCGAGGAAGTCGGAATCACCAAGCGCGTGTTCGTCGTTTGGCTGAACAACAACAGGCGCCGGAAGGATTCCATGAGATCAGAGGAGCAAGCTTGCGTGCATGCAGTGGCTGAAAATAATAAATAATATGAGTGCTGCTCAAAATTAGGGTTTCTGTTTTGCTGTCTTGTCTGTTTGTTTTCTGCAGGGTCTGTCTTTCGTTGTTCTCTTATGTAATGTCACTCAATCTGTGTCAAATGTTGCCTTTGGCTGTTTTTGGTTTCTTTGAGCGTTGAAAGTTCTTGTTGTTGTTATGTTTGAACTTAATTTTAAGGTTTTTCTGTGCAACGTGTCTTTGGTTCTCAAATTTCATTTTCATACAGTTTCATCCTGAAGATGAGCAATGACGATCATTTTAATAGAAATCAAAAGATGAAAAAGCAAAAAGAAAAAAACCAGAGATTTGAAGCGAAGAGACAAGCTCTTAGAAAGGCACATAACGTTCATCGACAACTACAAAGAGAGAACAAGAAGATAAAAGGCTAGCTGATTTGTAAAACAAACAAGAAACTAATGAAAGACTTATTAACTCTTGATTATTCCTGTGACTGCAGCCCAAAATCACCATTCCTTGCCTTCTTTCGTCCTGCCTTGTTAATTTTCGAGGGCTGATTGATTTCATCCCCACTGTCAGATTCAGACTCATCTGGGTTTGTGGATGACCCTTGACCTTCAATTAGTTCACAATTGGGAAGTATTGGTGATTGCATCAGCCATGGTGTCGGTGGTCGAGGTTGCAGTGCTGTAAGAGGATGACTTCCAGGGTTGATCCCTTGGCCAGAACCGGCTCGAGCCTGGATATCTGCAACATTGTTGATCTGATCAGGACTCTTTCTTGCTTTTTCCATGATGGAGAGACGATCGAGTGAGAAGACAGAGAATTTGATTCTAAGCAGCTTTGGCAAAGGAAACGGCTGTTTTTGAGTTTGGCCATAAGCATCAAAGAAAATTAGTTTTTTAGTGTTGAGTTAAAGTAGATTCTTTGCTAGAAGATTGACAGGTTTGGGGCAATTAAGCTATGACGTGTCCTCTGTCCTCCTGCTACTTAATTAGAGAAGCAATTGCTATAGTTAAGCTCTTGGTTGGATTTAACTTTATGCCCAAGAAAGAGAAATGATCATGTTGTCCTCCAGGGAAATCCAAAAGTGATTGAAAATGAAACCATGTGCAAGTAGCGTGTTGAATGGAGGGGAAGCATGCACTGCCCTAAATCTTCTATCCCATGCAAATTGCATCTCTGCTCTTTTAATTTTCTATACATACTTTCCCCTTACTACTCCTTTACTGCCAAGTTTGTGTTTTCTAATTATATTTATTACTGCCTATCTTTTTCTCTTTTCTTAATGCCTTTCCTCTATTATATATTTGTATTTTCTAATTATGTTACATCACTATGCATGTAATTATGTTTTTTCCTCTTTATATTATCTTTTTCTTCTTCGACTCTATTAATATGGAGTTTGTTTTGTCAATTTCTATTAATCTAAAGTTGCATGTAATTATGTATTTTCCTGTTTATATTATCTTTTTCTTCTTCGATTCTATAAATATGGAGTTCATTTTGTCGATTTCTATTAATTTAAAGTTGTTTTTTGTCGATTTATATTAATATAGAGTTATTTTTGTCGATTTCTATTACGAAGGTATTAATGGAGTTCGTTTTGTCGATTTCTATCGATCTAAAACGATTTTTTGTCGATTTATAAAGCTGATTTTGTCGATTTCTATTATGTATCTTCTCTTATCCATTAATTTTGGTATAAAATATTTTTTGTCAATTTCTTATACGTATCGTTTTTTTGTCGTCATGTAATCATTTCTCGTATTGATATATTCTTTTTAACGGTTTCTCAATATAGCATTCTTCGTATTGGTATAATCTTTTTTAACCATTTTTAACAACTTTGTTATATTATTTATTAATATGTTTGATTTATACTTTTTCTACCATTTCAAGTCTTTTATTATTGCATTTCCTGCCCTTTTTGTTGCTTTTGCTGAATTTTATTCATTTTCTCTAACATGTATGTATGTCGTATGAAATTTTTTTTTTTATAATTGAGAGAGGAGAATTCGAACCATGTTTTTTAAATAGGAGGTTAATGTACCAATCAATGAGTTAAATACTCGAGTGCATGCTGTACGGAATACTTAAATAGTAAGAAATTCAGCATTAGCAAATTAAGTTATTACCCCCATAAAGTCTCCTACAGGACATTGGCAAGTTATAACTGATTAAGTTCAATTTTATGTGAAATAGTGTTTGGGGTCTGGGAAAGTTGATATGTTTCTTTTCAGAATTTTAATCAGATGAGAACTTCTAATTTGAACACGAACTTGAAACATACAGTTGAGATACAAAAGATCAGAGCAGAAGGGAAAAAAAAGCCTAAAACAAACAAGAAATCAGTAAAAGCATACAAAGAAACCCTAGTTTTAGTATTTGCTTTATTCTTCCAAACCCTACAATTTCTGCTGACAAGACAACATTAAAACCGCAGAAGATTCTTAGTCTTCCTTGCTGTCCTTTTCGCCTCCATTGATCATTTCCACCTCATCAACCTCACTTTCACTGTCTAACTCTGACCTGTCTTCACTTTCTTCATCGGTCCCTGACCTTTCTTCTTCTTCTTCTTCTCCTTCACTTTCACTTTCAGCGACTTGTTCATGGGGCAGTTCCGGTTGTGGCACGAGAGGTATCGGTGGCTGCTGCGGCTGTGGCATTGGGCGAACGGAAGGAATGTCGTTAAATACGAGGTAGTGTGTGGCTTCCGAGTAAAGGGTTGGAAGCACTTTGCGATGAAAGCTCCGGTGGCAGCCACAGGCGTCGCAAAGCATGGCGTTTTCACGACCAGCTTCCCTTTTGAGAAACTCACTACAGCCGTCGACGGAGTAGTGACCAGCAGGGAGAGAAACGTTGCGCCTGCACTCCATGTAGGTGACACCTTGTTCACCTACTGCTTGCCGGTTGATCCGACGTCTTACAGCATTGGCTTGAGCTTGTCCCTGCTCATGACCAGCTCCATTGTTGTCATCCATGACAGAAAGAAGAGTAAAGAGGATAGAGAAAGAGGAGGAGGAAGGGGGGAGTGATAAGGTTTAAAGCAAGGGAAACGGCTCTTTTTAGGTTTAGGCAAAAGCATCAAAAGAATCGCCAGTTTGGATTTGATTCTTGCTGGAAGAGTGACAGGTTAGCCAAGACGTGTCTTGAGGGTATCAATTGCCCAACCCATTTCCCCTTCTGCCACAACCACCATGAAAAAGAAAAAAGGAAACAAATGAATAACGTTTGACACCCTTTATCACCCTTTCTTCAATTGCTTTTTTTGCATGTCTTTCGAGTATAAGAGAAACTGAAATAAGCCTTTTGATTGCAGTTGTTCTTTTATTAAAAACCATTTATTGAACTCCCTTATGTAGCTAGGAAAAAGTTGTAGGGTAGGATTGAGTCCTCGGTTTCTTTCAAGTTTTGGGAATAAATGTTAGTGATCATAAAATACAGAAAACAGCTCATTGCTGTGATGATTGATTACGCATAAAGGGGATATATCATCAAGAAAAAAAAAAAGAATATATAAATAACTCATACCCCTCAAACAGAACAAAGGGCATAAGCTATGCATCCATCGTAACGGTCCTATGAAAGCTAAGAAGATAGTTCCCTTTCCCAATAATCAAGCATTCAGATACATACAATGCCCTATTAACCGAAAGGGACCAACAGGGGAAGAGATGGTAAATAACCAGCACCACGCTTATTCAGTAGTATGTATGTGCGCTCTAGTCTTCATATTCTGTCTCTTCGTCGTCATCTTCATTGTTATCCGCATACGTCCATCCATCCTCTACATTCTCACGGTCTTCCTCAGTTTCTTCACTATCCTCTTCCTCGTATACTTCTTCTTTGACTGGCCATTGCTTTTTGGGTACAGGCAAAGTCACAGGACTCGAGCCTTTTTTCCGTGCAATCTTGGCAGGGGGCATCTTCACATTTGGCTTGGCCCTGCTTTGTTGTTTCTGACTTTTGCCATTGACTCGCTTTCCAGCATAAGCATCTTGATCACTAGCTTCGTCCATCTCATTGTCAGCATTAGGTGTGGCATTCTCGACATTCTCATCTGACATATGACCAGGATGCTCTCTCCTTAGATGGAGTTTTAGTTTGTATTCATGTATATAAGCCTTCTCACAACCTTCATAAGGGCATACATAAGGGCGATCAGATGATGCAGAGCCATAGGCACCCCCACTAGGCTTAGGTGTTTTAGTTATCTTCTCCGTAGGTGTGGCATATTTAGGCACATCTGCTGTCGTGCTCTATCAAATGCAAAGGTAAAATTCAGATCAGATCCCATATCACACAGTTAATAAAATGACATATATGTCATGTTCTAAAAAACAGGATTTGACAGCAATGTTACTGACCTTTTCATGGTGGGATGCAATGTGGTTCTTTAGCTTGTACTCATGAGCATATCTCTTTCCACAGTCTGGGTACGGACAGATATGGTAGTTTTCTTGCGAATGTGTTTTCATGTGTGACCTCAGGTTAAAATCCAAGGAGAATGCCTGTAGTTCTCATATTTAAATCAGTCAGAACACATATTAAGGGCAAGCATACAAGATATATAAGCCCATCCGCATACAAACAATTAATGGAAGCCTCCGAAGCAAAAACAATAGTTGCTGGAAACCTAAGCACCAGATAAAATGCAAAACTATGCCTATAAAATCGCAAATGCTCCACTTAGCATTTAACCAAGTTCTTCTTGTTAAAATTACGCTTCACTATTCCCTATATGTCCTGCTATATACGAGCAGTTCATATATTCACACTGTTAGAGAACATATAGGCTCCTAACTCCATTTAGGCATGTCATACAAACAGCAATTTCCTCAAAAAATGAAATCAAATAGTAATTTGGTTATGGTATATAAAGAAATTATCAAATCATTGATCAAAAATAATTTTCATTTTCTGTTTAAGCGAAAATGCATAGAGGCTCCAATAAAACTAGCCCAAATGTATAATAAGGAGGAAGTCAAACACACACACACACACAATTATGTTAGAAAAAATTATTCAGGCATAGAGACATCAATTAAGACAACAAAGAAAGAAGAAATCTATTACGACAATTGTAAGAGAATATACCCAAAACAGGGTAATAGAATAAGCATGTAAACTATAACAAAAAAATTCAACATCTGATAGATTTATCACCTTACCACAGCCTTCATGTGGGCATATAAAATCTCTTTCTCCAGTGTGAATGAGAAAGTGTCTTTTCAGTTTTGAACTATCCAAAAATTTCTGCAGTATCAACAAAAAATATAGAACATTAACAATCACCAATGCAAAACCATAGTCATCAGCAAAAAGGTAGACCACATCAACAACCACCAATGTAAAACTATAGTTATCAGCAAAAAAGTAGACCACATCAACAACCACCAATGAAACACTTTCAAATAAAATTGGACATGTTCATAGACCCCAAGCAAAGATATATCAGAACTGCTTCACTATGCTCCAGTAAATCTTAAGAGAAATTTTCTCATAAAGCAAATCTGAAGGTTTCCTTGTTTGCATCAAAAGTAGGAAGTTTTAGACAAGATACCTTCCCACAACCCTCCCAGTGACAAACATATTGTCTCTCTCCATGAATGTGAGAATGCTTTCTCAAAGCACCAGCATCAATAAAAGTCTTTCCACAGCCTTCATAGCTGCAAAGGAAAAGAACTTCTGTGGTAGGCTCAGGTTCAGGCTCTGGTGCTTCAGGCTCTTTCTCCTTCTCTTTCAATGCCTTCAAGGTGTTCTCTAAACAAAACAGTAGGGTGAGGAAGGTTAGGCTTATGCAGGACAAATCTACAAAGAAGAAAATGACAACAAAAGTCCCCTACAAGATAATCCTTCCACACCACCCTCGATGGCCTTACACCAATCCACAAAATCTATTAGTCAAAATGAATTCAAAGAACAAAGAAATGAGATGGTATCTTTCAAACCTACAATGCAATGAAAACACAGAGAAGGGGTCCTAGAAAAAAGGCCAGGGAAGCCATTGTGAAAAAAAAAAAAAGAACATGGATGTATTTTATCAAACTAATAGACTGTCAGATAAAAATTGGACATAATTCCTCACAAGCACACTTCAACGTCGTAAAAAAGCAACAACTCGGTTTGTCTCTAGACAACCTCATAAGCCATAAAGATACGACCTTCCAAATCATCTTCCTGTTTCTTTTCTAAATTTATACAGCATCTAAAGCCTATGTATAGACAATGTATAGTCTTAGCATTACAATGCAAAACACAAGTCAAGCCACAACCCGTAATTACGAATTACTATCCATCGAAAGAAACATAGCACTCACCGTTTACCCACTTCAAAATCATGCACTTTCCGCCCGTTGCAACAACGTCTTGAGGCACCCTAAACAAAATTTAGGTCAGATCATCGACATTGTCTATAATACAAAGCATCACAAGGTCATGCGATGAAGAAGTTGAGCACTAAACAATACCAAAATCTAGGTTACGATATCCAATTTTCTACTAAGACAGAACTTAATATAAATTCCGCCCACTATACTTAAAAAAAAAACTCTCAAATCAATATTTCATTGTTCACTCAATTCGTTATAAAATCAGTACCGAAAGGCAAAGGAAGAATGGATTCGAGAAAGTAACAAACAAACGAAAGCAGAGATCAAATTTACCATTCTTTGAACCATTTAACGGCGGGAGCCCTGGATTTGAGAATGGGGCGTCTCTCGAACAGATTGTGAGGGAACTGCATCTCCATCTACTTGCCCTTTACGACAATCGATGGTTGTATACGGAAATTAGTCGAGAATTTACAAATTATGAATCAAAAAAAAAGAAGTTAGGGTTAGGGTTTAGATTCCATGAGAGAAAGATGAAGAAAGAGGGACAACAAGAAAAAGGTTCGTCCTTTCGAGCCAGTCAGTCAGTCTCCGCCTCTGTCGCTGCATCTTCCTTGAACTTGACCCGGAGTGGACCCGATCACCTTGGGCCCAATCTTGCCGGTTTTTCTTTTGAGCCTCCACTATGGCCCATTTCTTCTATTTCAAGTCAAAATGGTCTCACTTCTCGCCCAACCCATAACTATATCTCTTTTTTTTTTTCCTTTTCTCTCAATAAAAACAAAATGGATTTTTATCTATTTAATTTTTTTCCAAAATAAATATAATTGCTTTTTGTAAGTTGACTATACAAGAGTAGGTAGAATTGAAAGTGAGATATTAAAAATGGAATAAAATTATTACCTCTTTATGAATAGATAAATCAAAAGAAAACAAAACACCAAGTCTTTTTGGCATTTGGCCCTATTTCACAAACCCTTAGGCACCCAAAGGATTTATCTCCTCTATCAAGTAATCTTACTCTATGAATATAATAAATCAATCACTGACACTGCTAAACATATTTTAATGAACATTAGGTTCATATCTCAAGTCCCTTGCCCCACTTTATTGATTCTCATGCCTTTTTTTAGTTTGTTACTATAGCATCTGTAACCTTTGGAGTGACTATTCACCGACAGATATTTTTCAAAGGGTGTAAATAAGTTTAGAGTAATACTTAAAAATTTTATAAATTATTTTAAAATTTTTAAATAAATTTTTATTATTGTATTACATTTAATCAAGTTTTATGTTTTTATTTTGTACCAAATAAGTTTTTATGAATAACAATCGATCAATTATCACTTATCATTTTTTATGTTTATATGGTATTAACGTAGAGAGTAAAAATTTTATAACCAGCTTTTAAAAAAAAAAAACGTAGAGAGTAAAAATATCACATGATTATATCATCATAATATATTAATATATCATATTATCATCCATTATGACATTATTATGACATATTAGTATGTTACATTATCATCATTTGACCTAAAATGATAAGTAACATTTTGATATCATCATCGTTTGACATAAAATAAAGAGTGATATTTTAATTAATAAAAATTAATTAACTATTATTTAACTCAAAATAAAAAGTAAAATGATTTGATTGAAGGTAATTATTAAAATAAAGACTTATTTAAATTTTTTTAAATAGTTTAAAGACTTTTGTATTAGATCTATGTAACATTTTTATTGATGTATAAATTTTGTCTGTGTAAGGATTAATACACCACCGATTTTATCCAATAAAAATATAAAAACACTCTTACATGTAGATAAATAAGATTACTTTTGAATTGAACATGTCTTGATAATTTTATTAGATAAAATTGATAAGGTAATCCACTTAATGGAATTTAATCACAGAGTGATAATCGAGAGAAATAAATAACATGATATTATGCGAAAAAGTTGAAATTAGGTATAAAAAATGTTAAAAAACTGTCCATATAAAAATCAAAAGATGCAAATTTCAAAATGCCAATGCCCCAAAAAGAAGTATATAAAAAATTAATAAAGAAAAAAAAGGGAAAAAAGGAAAGTGAAGTATGGACATCAAAGGGGAATGACAGTGCATCAAAGAAAGCTTTGTTATATTCTCTACCCACCAACTTTTTGGGAATCTTCTGTTTGGAAATGCATGGTTTTTGGATTAAAACCTGCATTATGTATCCACCAAGGGCAAACCCAAAGCATTGACCCACTCGAGTTGATTTGACTCATCATCTGCCACTCTCCCCATGTATATTCGGACTCGACTCAGCTGCCTACTCGAACTCAAATCCCAAACTCATTTCAACGTAACATCTGCCAATATCTCCTTCAGCAACATTTGCCCTCTCGAGACATTGCTGCTACCGTCGCCTTCTTGGGTTGTTGCACAGACGGCTCTGCATTGTCTCGTCAATTTTCGCCGCCTCCTCGTAATAAGAATCAAGTTCTGTAAGATGCTAGTCCAAGCCGTACTATAATTAGTTCTGACTCGGTCAATGGAACAAGTCTCCATGGCCAGGACGATCTCTCCTATTGAAGGTCGGCGGGCTTCGTCTCTGACAAACAACGTGATGCCACGCTCAATATGCTCCCTATCATGCTTCCATGTACGTTGGAAATGGAACCCTTGGGTCACAGATCCCCGTTAGTCTTTTCTTTTCTACTAATGGAATTGCCCATTCAACTATGGAAGCCGGTGCTTTAGAGATATCCATGACTTTTCTACCGCTAATGATTTCTAGGAAAACAACCCCCAAACTGAAAACGTCGTTCTTAGTGCTCAGTTTGTCAGGGGCGGTGTAACAAGGGTCCAAGTACCCAATGGTACCGGCTGGTTGAGTCTCCTGACTCAGCGAGTCATCTGGCAAGACTGCCAGTCCGAAATCAGCCAATTTTGCAGTCCAACTTGAATCAAACAAAATATTTGCAGATTTAATATCTCTATGGATGACCAAAGGCTTGCCTTCATGGAGGAACTGGACCGCCCTCGCGATTTGCATAGCGATCTCGACACGTTTAGGCCACCGGGGTGGGGTGGCTGCAACATGCAACAAATCATGCAAGGAACCATTAGCCATCAACTCCATCACCAAAAGCTTGTCGTCCTTGGCCGAGTCATGACTGACACCGAGAAAGCTGATGATGTGAGAACTATCACGTAAAGACGACAATACAGATACTTCGTTGTCTAGCTTCTTCAAGTTGTCAAGTCGTGCCTCGACGCCATTGATGGACGATCTCTTCACGGCTACTACCTTGTTATCTTGAAGAAAGCCTTGGTAGACCGCTCCGTGGCTGCCTTTCCCTATCAGTCTCGACCGAGAGAAACCTTGGGTCGCTTTCACAACTTCTTCATAATCAAACTCCACCATTTCCTTGCAGTCCATCTCCTCACATCTCTTCTTCTCTAGTTGGGAATACTCAAAAGGGATGTGGGTTCGGTTCTGTTTGCCTGGAGGGAAAATAGTTTTCTTGGGGGTCGAAGTTTGATTCTCGAATATGTAAAGAAAAAGCAGATCGGTCGAAGGAAGAGAATAAAGGGGCTTTGGGGGCATGAAGAGGGAAAATTATAATGGAGGAATTATTGAGAGAAGAAAAAAGGTAAGAAGGGAATGAAGAAGTCGAAGAAAAAGTAAAACGCAATCCTAATTAAAAGATAAGTGCTCTGACGAGGAGGGGATGAGTTGCTGCTCCATTAGCTGGTTTTGGGGTCCCTCTCCCCTCCTTTCTTTTTCCTCTCTCCCTCTCTTCCCTTTTCTTTTCCATTTTAATCTAAATCACTAGATAACGATGCTAACATTATCATCCATTTCTTAAATTAAAGATAAAATGAATTAAAAAGGTCTAAAGTTATTTAAAAAAAATCAGAATAAATTTTTATTTTTTTATCACGATCAAATAAAGTTTATATATTTTTATTTTATATCAAATAGATCTTTATAATTAACTTTTATCAAAATAAACTATATAATTTTTATATTCACGTGATGCTTTTGTAATGTCAAAGTAAATAGTAAAACTACCACTTGATCATATCGACATATCACATTACCATTTATTATAGCATGTCAACATATTATCAACGTAATTTGATATAAAAATAAGAAATGTTATTTTAAGTAACCCGTTAATGATAGATACCTATTTAATCTAAAATATTTCAAAAACCTTTTTAAGTATCATATCTATTTAATTCTTATCTCATTTCATGCTTAGGTGTGATGATCTAAAAGTAGAAACTAAAATATACCCTAATATATATTAGATATTAATATTAAACTCTAAAGTCTAAACTTATCTATCATAGCAATATTTAGGATGCATAATTCTTATTATCGTAAGATGTTTGTATGTTCAACTAACAATTAATTAGCTCTTATAAAAAAAAAGAATTAATAAGATAGCGTGATGGAGTTGAAAAAATTGATTTATTTGCAGACAAATAGGATCAACTTAATTAATTTGTATGGTAACCTTAACGTATGAACCGAAACAATTGACTTTCGAGCAAATGGAAAATATTATCACTATTAGATAGTGAAGGGAATCTAGAAGATATATACATATATGGTAATATGGACTCACGATATCATTTAAAATTCTTTTTATCATTTTCAAATTCTTTCTTTTTAAAATAAAATAAAACAAAACTTAAGTTTGAATCTACCATTATCTCGACGTGCATATCATTTAACATTTGGAAGAAATGTTATTGAAAATATAAAATAAATTACATCCATGATTTTCAAAATTAGAGTCAAATACCATTTTTATGTTTATAATTGAAAAAACAGTCATTAGGTCAAATTTTTTTTTAATATTATGACAAAAACTCAAAATCAATTAATTAAGAGTTATGTAATGAAATTAAATATATATTTTCAACATAATAATTTTTTACATGTAAATTAACATGTGAGTTGTCACATACATGTCGTTGATTGTTTAATGATTAAGTTAATGGAACTACGAACGGAATGAATTTTTGTTATAACGTTGTAAGTTTAAAGACCATTAACTAATTTTTTAAACTACAGGAATGGAAAGGATATGCAACTCAAATTTTGACAACTATGAATGGAATTTTTTAAATTGTAAATATGATTATGGACAGCGTATTTTTTAATTTAGAAACATTTATATCTGAACTCGATTATAAAATTTAATATGAATATCTCGTCTGAATTTGATTAATAATATTCTATTAAATTTTGAATCGATTTATTTTGTTAAAAGAATGTCAATAATAAAAAATAAAGTTAAAAATGCCCATTTATACATACTACCCTTAACCATCCCTAATTGGCATGTTGATGGTAGGGATGAAGCCCATCTACTTCCTCTCCCTGCCAGCTCGATTGCACCTGGAGGCCCGCCTTTCACAGCCCACTAATGGCCAATTGCAATGTAAGATTTTTGAGGGCTTGGTTCAAAGCATAAAGATTCAAGACCTAACAATTTTAAGCCCAGAACCAACATTCAAATGAAAACCATTCTCTAAAATTTCAGGCATTCTATTTATGTTTAAATTTGATCCTTTTTCCAACAATTATTTATATATATACTATTTTAAAATTTTTTAATTTGTGAAATTCAAACTTTTATCCTCTTTACCTTCAAACCAAATTTTAGCATTTTAACCAATTTCGTTTTTAGAAAATTAATAAATATAAAATAAATTTTTTATATGATTTTTAGTTATTTAAGTTACTGTTTGAGTTAATTAATCTAGTATTTACCTTATTTGAGTAACTAAGGAATAGTACTATATTATTAGGATCCTATTTTAAATAGTATTTTAATATTTTATTTGAATTTTAATAAAATTTGAGTAAGTTCTTAATTAAATGAATTTAAAATTGGATATTAGAAAAAACGACTATTCTATTCGCTCACATCTCTAAATCTATACTTTGTTTCTATTTTCAGCACATGCAGAAAAGGTCATGAGCATTCTAACTTGATCATAAATCACCGTAGATAATACTCTATCCGTCACATTTTTTTCATTTGAAATGTTTTAAATAAAGTTTATTTATTAATTTTTAAACTCCTAATACTTTTACTTTTTATGCTATAAATTTATTTTTACTATTAAAAAATTAAATATCTGTTATATATTTAAAATTTTAAAAACAAAAATATGAAAATTAAAAAATTGAATTTTAATTCCTATAAAAACAAAAAGAAATTTTAAATATTTAAAAACAGGGAAAACATCCTATAATAATATGAAGTTATTTATTTCTAACAAATTCATTATTAACGACGGAAATGAGTGAACTGATTAAACGTCGTTGCTGCCTAAATTAATGCTTTTCGTCTGTAAATATTTCAAACCCTGAACAGTAAGACGAAAATGAGGGGTGGCGGGGAATCGGCAAGCGGCATTCATTCCGTTAAGCTATTAACATCACGAAATAAAACAGGTTTGAATTAGCTACGATGACGAGGGAAGTCGAAAAGGGCAAGGAGGGGTGGGAATTCCCTTCAAATCAACGTGGAATTGTTTGGATTTCCGGATAAGGGAACATGTCGGACTGGGACCCACCATAGACCGCAGGGACAGAGCCCTTGCTGCCCCTTCATAAACGGGGTCCTGTCGTCCGTGTCTGTCACGCGCCCCTTTCGAAAGAGCGTCGTGTCATTGACCCTCTGTTCACGCCGTGAATGATAAGGGAAACAAACACCTTTTTATTTTCTTTTTTTTATTTTTTTTATTTTCCCGAAGTGAAAATTGCGGAAGCAGTGAAAAGACTAACATTTACAAACAAACAAACAAAACTTTACCAAATCAGCGACAGAGGGACTGTCAAAACGCACGTGACCTGCATGTGCGGTCAATTTGTTGCTAAATCCGTATAATCATTACCTCAACTATGAAAGTACCCCACCTTTTATTTTTCAAAATTAACTTTGTCCCTGGTATATATAATCCAATATAGTAGTACTACTAGTTTTTATAACTTTTTAACTAAATTTCACTTACATTTTCTTTTTTTTAATTACCTCACTATAAATAATTTTTATTTTGACAGCTACCGAGATTAAGTTATTAATTTTATTTAATAACATTAATAAAAATAGATACTAAATTCAAAATGAATTTATTTGTGTATATTTAAGAGTATTTTTTAAATTTTATCTAAAAAAAGATATCCACAAGATAATAATTGAGCAAAAAAAAAATCACAGATCATCATTTTAGAAAAGCTGAAAACACAAGTTGCAATGACTAAGATTTTGTATTATAGCATTTATTTGCATGCTAAGTGATCAGACTATGTAAATTTTGATTTTTTTATGTAAATATAAAATTAATAGTTCAAATATAACGAAACGATATATATATATATGATCAGAAAAAGAAAATTTTGAAATATATATATACGTATCATTGAATCAAATATTAAATATTACAAAATTTCAATGATATGAGACGATGAATTTAATTTTACACAATTTGTAATCATTTAATTTATATCTATATTTGCAAGCAAGCTACATATGAGCACTTTCACTAAAGGCTCTCACACTAGACTCACCTTTAATATTATTCATGTTTCTATTAGTCTTAAATTGTGTTAAAGTGCACCAACCCTAAAAAGAAAAAGTTTTGGTTAGGGTGCTTTTTTTATTTTTTTTTTCCACCGTCTATCTCATCGGTTCCCATCATTAATTATGAATATACAACTCATAAAATATCCATACTCAAAAAAAAAAAGATTACAATATTTCAAATAATATTCAATATTTTCCATTAATAAGAATCAATATTTCCATTTTTCGGATGTAAAAAAGGGGGCTAAAGTGCCACCAACAGGTTGCTAAATGAGCACATACTGTATCTATGGTTTGGGTAATAAATGAAAAAAAAAAAGGAAAGGGAAATTAGTTATTGTCAACTTCAATATCTTGGCTAGCTTTGCCCAATAAATTAGATTCGAATGTGACATTGGAAAACCCTAATGGCCAATGCATACTCATCAATTGTTGATCATGGCTAAATATGGGATATGTGCTTATTTGTTTAAACCACTATTCAAAATGAGAAAATCCATTTATCTGCCTTTCACATCTTTAATTGCTTAATTTGATTCCAAAACTCTAATGTATAATTATAGCCTTTGGGTCACTCAAAATCATAGAGTAATATGAAATTATGAATGAAGTAGTTGTACAACAACACAACGAATTGCAATAATTTCAATCACCTCATCTTTTCATATATTTTTTATAGGGAAAAATGAAAATTGTTTAACTAGCTAAAGAAGCACAAACTTAGAAACGATAATGGATACTTGATACTAAATCCCATTAATTAATAAGATTAAAATATTTCATAATCAGGTTCGGATAAAGTTTGGACCGTAAAATTACTATTTGTCATGAGTTGGAGTAGAATCAAGGTAGTAATCATAAAGTATCCATTACTTAAAACTTGATCATAAAATAATAATTATTAATACTAAAACACAAATTAATCTTAAATTAATTTTTTAGTTTAGGTTAGAATTTGAATTTTTTTATAAATAGTAATAATCGGATTTGAATATTAACTGTTAATTTTAAATGAAATTTCAGTAAGATATGAATAATTAAATTATAATTGAAGTCAAATTGAGATGTTTCAAAATTAAAGGTATCTTCTTCGTTACTATTCTACACAAAATGTGATTAAAACCATTAGCATTTAATATATAACAATGAAATGAGAAACACCAGATTTTAAATTATTGTTTCAGAAATTAAAAAGAAACAAAAAACCTTTTTCAATAAATGAAATCATTGTGGTACTGATTAGGATAGGACTGATCTCTTTCGAGAAGCCGGTCAAATTGGTCCAGTGTGATCGTAAATGTATCCACATGTTTAGCTGAAGTACATCAACAAGCGCTATCAATGGTGACAATGATGCATTAAAATATTTTTCTACTGATGGGGTAAAAACCGAATGCACCCAAATACAAACATCGGTCCCCAACGCTATTTTTGTTTTTTTAATCCTACAAGTTTACTTTTTACAGTCATTCATTCAAGGGGAGGGACAGAGAGCTAAGTTTACTGTAAAAAAAGTCAGGGAAAAAACCCTTGCAGCTTTTTCTTTTATTATACATTCATGGGGTGGCAAATGTTCATTTAAGTTGCAGCCTTTTACCCAATTAAAAATTTTTTCACAGTTTGGAGCATTTGTCAGGAAGGGAAAGGAGTAAATTAAGTGGGCTGGTATAAGGTCAGAAAGGGGAAAGTTAATGGGAACAGAAAGAAATGAGGATCAGCCTTGAGAAAATGTCAGTGATGGAGGGAGGAGGGAGGAGGGAGGAGGAGGCTCATGGTAAAAAATTAGGTTGACAGAGTAGAGAGGTAATTAAGAGGCAAAGGGCTGAATATTTTCTGACAGCACTGTGGCACCACCATCATTTTGGGATGTGATGTAAATTTTTAAAATTAAATTTGGTTTGTTGGAATAAAATTTAAAGGTTGAAGAGGAAAAAGTAAACAAAAAAAGGCAAAAAATAAAATAAAATAAAAAGGAGGGTGGGGAGGTCTTTATCAAGAATCCCTTTCTCTAGACATGGAGAACCAAACAAGGAGTATGATGCATGAACAGTAATTCACACTGTGACCACTGTTCTTGCCTGGCAGGCACTACAGTAAATTTAATGTAACAATTCTCATTCAGATTTACATCAGTATCCCCATTCATTCACAATGATTTAATTCGATTAAATAAGATTAAAGTATTTAAGTAATAAAATCATTACCCATCACAAGTTCAGATAAGATTCAGTAATAGTCATAAAATATCTATTATCTAAATCCGATTATAATTTGAATATTAATAATCTAACTTGAGTATTAAAGGTTGAATTTAATAAAATTCAAAGTTAAAATATTTTGCAATTAGCGGACACCTTTATCCGATGTTGTTTCTGGTACTTATTTATGTTACTATTGATAGCTTGATGGAAATCCAAATCTTATACCTCAGGAGGAAGAATTTAACTAAACATGGGTTAATTTTTACAACTTTAGAATGAGGGGTGAGGAGCAAAAAAAGGGTCTCATTCATCTTTTTTTTAATATTGTTGAATTAAAAATTGTTGTAAGATGATAGGGATGAAGATGTGGGATGGATTTGTATGAGTAGATTAGATGATTATCGGTTCAAAATAGGACTTTATAAAGGATAGAAAAAAGTGGGTCCAGGTGGGTACTGGCTGGCTGATTAGTGTTTGTGAGATTATAATAGTTTCTTTTTTGTTTGTTTGAGATATAAGGAAAGTTAGAATGATTTGGGCACCTCCTCCTCCGAAAAAGAAGTTTTCTTTTAAAATTTTGCCGCCCTTGGCCTAATCATGAGTGGACAAAACTGTACTTTACCAAAGACAAAACATTTTGCCCTCAAACTCCAAATTTTGCCCTAATTTTTAAAATCATGAATTCCTTTGTATGATCTTGAAAAAGTATAATAGCAAGAAAATTACTTCGTTCGTCTCTAAAAAATGAATTATTCAATTAATTCGATTATTTTTGTATATAAACTCCAGAGATAGTAATAGAAAAATACTCTATATATCTCTAAATGATGAATTATTCGGTTGATTTGATTAGTTTTTATATGATCTTCAAAATATAGTAATAGGAAAATACGCCATCTATCTCTAAATGATGAATTATTCAGTTGATTCGATTCTAATTTTAGATATAAAAAAATCATTTAAAATAATCAAATAAATTAATATCGAAAATGAGGATATTGAAGTGAATTACATAGATTGATGTTCACCTTTAGGGAGAGCATTGGAAGGCAATTTGGTCTTTTTGACAAGAATAAGTTGCCACCGTATCAAAAGAGAGGGTGCCCATGTGGACGGCAATCCAAAAGAAAAAGATACTGCTACTAAATTAAAAAGATAAAATATATAAATAGTTAGGGAAAAAAAAAAAACAGAATGTGGGGTTGGGTTGGGATGAGCTGTCCTACTGCATTAGATGCTTTATCTGATGCTTACCTGCGCTGCCCAGCTGCAAATCTGCATGCCCTGCCCTCTCAAACACCCTCTTATTTACCATAGCACCATTTCTCCCTTTCGTTTCTTCTTCTTCCACAACCTAATCCCCTAATCTCATAATCTCTTCGTAATTTGTAAACCTTAATTGAAACAAAGGAAATTAACAAACATCAGGATTTCAAAAACCCCAAAATCTAAAAAGGGGTTTGTGTCCTGCAATTTTTTCTGGTGATCTGCAAAAAGAGGGCTCTGCTGCACATGATCAGCATTAGTTGACCAGTTAGTGGAAAAAATAACAGAGAGAGAGAGAGAGAGGGGGGGGGGGGTGAAAACGAGATTTTGTTTGTTACAGGAAGTATTTATATAGAAGTAGTAAAGGTTTGGAAGTTATTTTCAGACAATGATCTGGGCACATCAATTTCTGTCTGAAAGAACAACTGATTGGAAAACGCAAAAGACAATGTTGTCCACAAAGTACACAGGCTTTGTTTGATGAAAGATGAGGATAGAATGGGAGTTTTACATTCCGAAAGACGTTAGAGACGGAAGTCCTGAATGTGAAACTCATGGGAGTGGACATAGCCTGTCTGAAGAGCTAAAGAGGGGGGGGCTATGTTTTTGTTGTAAAACAAAGGGCCGATTTTTAACATTCCTTTTTCGAGACCCCACGAGTGGACTTTGGCTAACTTTTCGCCCCCCATCTCCAACTAGGTCCCCCACCTGCTTCTATCCAAAGCAGCCTCTTAGCCTGCGCAACTCTCTTTCTCTCTCTCTCAGCTCAGGCGAAGACAACAGTCAATCAGAAAGCAAAAGAACCCCACAAACTCTTAGTCCTACTTAGGTCCAGACCACTTCGCAAAAAAAATTTAACTCTCTTTCTCTCTATATCTATCTCCTCTCTTTCTTTCTGTTGAGAAAACAAAGATGTCTTAGAGAGAAGAAGAACAAAGAGAAAAGATAAGGTTGATGATGGATCGACTTTGAAACCAAAAAACAAAAACATTTTAGTATAAAAATAAAAATCCAAACCCCTTTGTAAAACCCGGAAAATTACCCCACCAAATGGAACTTACAGATTTGCAAAGCAACAAGCAAAGCAACACAGCAACAGCAGCAACAACAACAACAGTAGCAACAATTCTACAGAACCCCACCATCAGTCTTCCCACCACCACCTTCATCATCACCACCACCACCACCACCTCCAACATCAAAAACAGTCACTTTCTCCTCAACTTGTGGTTCCTTTTGATGGCACCAGATCTTCTGGTCCCGCGCAGGCAACCCTTTTAATATGGGCTCCATCTCTCACCCCCACCACCATCATCATCTGCTTCTTCATCCTGCTTCTTCAACAACTACGACAACCACAACGCCGCCTCTCTCCTCTTCTTCCTCCTCTTCTTCTTCAGCTTCTACCACTACAACCAACCCGCCTCAACTCGTTGACGCCTCTCTCGCTATTGCCACCAGATCTACTTCTGTCAACGTCGATTCCACAAAGAAGAATCAGCCAAACTTGCCACTTTCATCGACGACAACGACGACGACGACGACCGTAGCTAACCCTCCAGTGAAACGCTCCACAAAGGACCGCCACACGAAAGTCGATGGTCGAGGCCGCAGAATCAGAATGCCAGCTACTTGTGCGGCTAGGGTTTTTCAATTGACAAGAGAATTAGGTCACCAATCTGATGGGGAAACAATTGAATGGCTTTTACAACAAGCAGAACCAGCAATAATAGCAGCCACAGGAACTGGTACTATACCAGCCAATTTTTCAACGCTTAATGTTTCGTTAAGAAGTAGCGGATCCACGCTTTCAGCTCCACCTTCAAAATCTGCTCCTCACTCGTTCCATGGTGCTTTAGCTTTGGCTTCTCATCATCATCATCACCCTTATGAAGAAGGGTTTGCTCATAGCGCTTGTTGGGTTTTCACCATCACCAGCAGCAACAGCAACAACAACAACAGCAGCATCTTTTAACAGCAGATCAAATAGCTGAAGCTTTACCTGGTGCTGCGGTGGAGATAGTGGAAATTCAAGTGAGAATTATATCAGGAAACGGTTTAGAGAGGACCTGTTTAAGGATGATAATCAGCAACAAGGTGAAAGTGGTAGTGGCGGCGGAGGTGGAAGCGGAGACGGATCCCCTATTAAGGCTTTTAAAAGCGGTTTAAGCCAATTGCCTAAACCACAACAAGATGCTGGATCTTCGGGCCTACTTCGACCATCCAATATTCTGCCTGCCACTGCCATGTGGGCAGTGGCACCGGCTCCTAGCAGTGGAGCAGGCAGTACATTTTGGATGCTGCCCGTGACTGCTGGTGCTGGTGGCCCGTCAGTGGCCACGGGTGCATCCGGGGCTGGTCCATCTGAGCCCCAGATGTGGCCTTTCGGAACACCAGGTCCAGCAAGTGGGAATACATTGCAAGCACCCTTGCATTTTGTGCCCAGATTTAATCTTCCGGGTAGTGTTGAATTCCAAGGTGGTAGGCCGAGTCCTTTGCAATTAGGTTCGATGTTAATGCAGCAACAACCTTCTCAGCACCTTGGCTTAGGAATGTCTGAGTCTAATTTGGGCATGTTGGCTGCTCTTAATGCCTATTCTAGAGGTGGTTCGAACATTAATTCGGAGCAAAATAATCCACTGGAACACCATCAACACCAGCCTCAAGGTACAGATAGTGGAGATGAAGACCCCAATAATTCTCAATGATGGATTCCGAGAATTAAATGTACAAGAGTTGGTTAGTAGGCTTTTAATTCACATATTTGACAGATTAATGCCTTTTGAATTTTGTTTTTCTTCTTTATGAAAATACATTCGATTATATAGGAAGCAGGAAACTAGAGATTGCTGGGTTTGTTTGTGCAGATGTGGACAACAGGAAGTTTGTGATGAGCTGAGTGCATGAAACTTTGTTAGTGGATTTGTCATCTGGGGAGATAAAAGAAAAGGTTCTGATTAGGTCCCATTTGGTAGCTTTGTTTGTCCATTTGATTTTAAATTTTTTTCCCAATTTTTCTTAGCTAGAGTCGATCGATTTGGAGAAGTTTGAGAGTTTGTAATTTCAGTTGTGGTCCGAAGGGGGACCTGATAGGGAACAGGAATATGAGAGAGAGAGAGAGAGTTGCTTGTATAGGAGGATATTTGTTTGTGTTTGATTACAGTGTCTATTACTATTATTTGCTTTGTTTGTATGAGGAATTTGGAAAACAAAAAAACAAGCGAAGGGAATTGAGGGAAAAAAAAAAACTCAACTATTTTTGCTATAATTATTAGTTTGACATGATTTGTTTTCTTGTTCCTTTCCTACCTTTCTTCAAAGAATCTATCTCTTTCACATTGGCAAAATGCAGAAATGAACAGAAAGGCATTAGCTTATCATTTCTATTAAATGAGGGTGGATAGCCTGCTTGATGTTTATATTGCTATTCCTTCAAAAAGTACTCTCTCAAAGCAATGGAGACAGAGAGAGAGAGAAGAAAAACTTTTTCTTGGGGAAGAGAAGATTAAACTATTTCACAAAGAGTCTGCTTCCCCCTTTCCTTCTCAAGTTTCAAAGAGATCCAGAAAGCATGTCAGTTTGGGTTTTACCTTCCAACATCTTTGCCTTTCTTTTTTATTCAAGCTTAGTGATCTTTCCAACTTGCTTATACTAATATAAAAAAAAGGGTACTCAATATAATGTTATTATTACACGCTGAAAGCATATTTATGCCTTTGCTTTCCCTCCCTCATCAATACATTTTCTGCCCTGCTGGCATGCTTCATTGTCTTTTTAAAGTAAGCAGCCCCCACTTTCTCCAGGTGTGGTCTCCCTGATTTCCAGGAAAAATAAAGCTTATTCTTCTTGGATGTTGCTTGCCAATGCACCAAAGTGCTTCAAACATCTTATGCAGATTCAAGAAAACCTGGAAACAAAATGAGAATGTTCTTGTTTTAATGCCACTATCATTAATCAATGTCTAATGAACTATATAATGTATCTAAATGTGGAAAGCCATGGAACTGAAGGATGTTTGGGTCGCAATGGCTTTGATCCACCTGAGTGCTTGTCGAATTCCAAAAACCCACTCTCCCACGTTCTTTCCCTACATTTGTTTTTCAGGTTTTGCTTGCACACCGAGAAGAATCACTTTTGTTTTGACTTGCACAGTTCTTGCAGATGGCTTTCTCGTTTTCATTGCTTAATCATTTTCTCCACATCATCTTTATTTTGCTTTGTTTTTCATAACTAAAATAATATTAAAAAAATTCTCTAAATTATATGTATTGTTACCATTAAATCTGAATTTTTGTGCCTTTATTGCTACATTCAGCTCAGCAAATTAATGTGCCCCTGACAACCATGTGAATGTCCCTACTAATAATCATTAAAGTTTAAAAATAATCATGAATTTCATGACTATTTAATTTCAATTGAACATATATATAATGCTTGGAAATTTTCACATGTGAGGTATCAATAAAGATGATCTTTGAAGTTACTATAATTATATTCCCTTGAATTTTGCCCATTCATTTTTTGTGTTTATAAAGAGCCACCTTTTTAAAAATCTAATAACCCAAATTTAGATTACCTATTTACAATGTGACCATTTTTCAGATCGATTTTCTTCAATTTCCATATCAATCATTTAAGACAGACGATTTATTCAATTATTTTGATAATTTTAATATTTAAAATTTAATAATATTTGAAGTCAATCTAGTTCATTAATGCGCTAATCCCGCTTTACGGCAGACAAATTTCAACTTTTTATACACGTTAATAAAAAAAAGTACTAAAATTGTACTAAGCATATTCTTTCCCTTTTAATTTTAATTTTTTTTAAAAAGGCCCTTGTACTGATAAAAGCATATTCAAGAAATTCAGCTGACTAATCTTTCCCGCCCGGTGTTCTATTATGCCGTAAATTTCGCAACGTGAAGTTTAAATTAGTACTAATTAAATAATTTTCAAAATTATTTAAACCCAAAAAATTAATTGTGCGGGGCCGAGAGTTTCGGTTTTGGGAAAGGAGCTGGGGGACAATGGGATGGATGGACGGTCGGGATTGTTTTGTTTGTTTTCCCATTTGCATTGAAATTCTTGGTCTTCATGTCTTACACGTGTACCAATCATTAGTTCAGCAAGTGAGGTTTTGGTAGGAGAAAGACAAAAGACGATGGTGGGGGTTAGCAGAGCTCAGAGCGCGTGGCGTGGCCTGTTCATGTTGCTTTACTTTTGTCTCTCCCATTGGAAGAAAGAAAAATAAATAATTTGTTTCATTTCTAACTCAAATGAGACGTAGGAGAGTCGTTAATCTTCCATTGACTGTATAGATTTGATATTTAAGTATTAACATCATGTTTAAATTGTGAAATAATTTTTGTTCAATAAAATTGTGAGATTTGACAAATTAAATTAGATAATATTTTATAAATTAATATAAATTATATCATTAAATAAATAATTTTTTTTAAAAAAACTTACTATTATAAACATTCTATGTATGTAAGTTGTTTTAATTCTATCTCGAATGTGATGATGTCAAATGCGAACTCATTACATTTTAAAGTATAATTATATATTTAAGTGTTTACATCATCTTCAAATCATGAAACGTTTTTAATGAGATAAAATCATAAAATCCAATGAATTAAAGTGAATAATAACTTACAAATTAGTGTTAACCATTATATCCTATCAAGTTAATTTTTTTAAAAATAAATAATAACTCATCTTATATACACTATCGCTGCATAAAATATAAGCCCGTAAAAGACATTGAAGAATTCAGTGTTTATTATAAACCAAATACTGTACACACTTTTGATAATCTTAGAAAGGCAGAATACACATTTTTACATACTTATATGTACACAAAGATACAACAAAAATGATATGATGCTCAGCCATTGCAGTGTTGTGAAGAAAAGCAGGGCAACTGCCAGTCAAAATATTCATACCTGTTTCATTAGATGAGTAACAAGATTAAGAGACACACCATAATTAGGTGATGGTAACAATGAAAGCAATCTTTTTGCTCCAATGAAAGGTTCAGTACATGCAAGAACAGCCCAAAAGAGATGAAAGGTCCAAAAGCTTTTCTGTCTACCTTGCAGAAATGGACTCTCTATCAAGAATTTGTGAGAGCATAAGCCAGAATTTGTTAAAGTGACTTGTTGTCTAGTGCTTGTTTTTGAGATTCCAATGGGAAGAGGGACAAGACCCGCCTCCTATAAATATCAGTCGAGACAAGCAGTGTGTCAGGCTCCCATGATTATATCAAAAAAATTTAAATAAAAAAGAAAATTCTCCATTTTAAACTATGATGGTACTTTCCATGTTCAGGAGAAAGCGGAAATTCATTTCATTTGTAAATAAATTCTATGGTGAAACAAAGAGCCAAAAATAAGGCTAATCAAAGCCGGCAGCTTACAGTAAATGGTCGACTGCATAAAATACTGGAACCCTCCCCAGTTTTGCACCAGTCCATTTTCCTTTTTGAGTGGAAATAACTTGCTCTGCCTCTGTGCCTGTTGCAGTAAGAACAAACTGAAAGACATGCATGTTAAAACCATCAAATTTTCAGGAAAGAAAACATTAAATTTTATAATCACTAAAAGAAAAACTATACGAGGGGCAGGGGTCAAGACATACCAGAGGAAAGAGTATGGCCATAACACCATAGCTCACAAGAGGTGAGAAAAAGAAAATTGCCAGAACACAAGGGCTTCCTGATAATAAAACATCAGTGATATTGAAAATGATATAATTGTCCATTTCAACAAAGAGTTCCCTACTCGGGTTATTTTCACTTCCATAACAGCAAAGAGGTAAATTACAGAAAAGATCACATTTTACAAGCAGATATCAATGAAAGTGAAAAGTAATTACCAAAACCAGCAAAGAATGCCCAATTAGTTTCAAAGAAGTCTAGCCTTTTCTCCAGACCCCATTCAGAAAAGTTCCACTTGTACCTAAGAAGTTCAAAAGTTATTTAGCTATTATCTAGATTATACTAAGTGCAAAATGTTAAACAGCAAATACTTGTTTTACCACATACTCGAAACAGTAATAGGCATACATCCAAGAAAGAAGTAGAAAATTGAGTGCCTTTCCAACATAGGGTATAAATCCTGTGGCATAAACCTACACATAAATTTGGAAGGATGTAAGTCTGTCATCCCAAATGCCTAGACAACTTCATACAGAGGAAAAGGGTAAAAGAAATCAGAAACATACTAGTTGTTAGCAAATGCTTCTATAAACAGAACGTAATGGGCAGCAAGAACTCATCATTACCTACTTAACAAGTTAAAAAAAAAAAATACCATGCCGAGAAAAGAATTTTACCTCTAAGAAAAAGAAACTCAAAAGAAGCACCGAATATACCTGCTCCCCTATTTCAATCATGATCCTGCAGGAAAACATAGAATAAAAAGCAGACTTACACATCTATGCAAGGTATAATTGTTTGCTTAAGAAAATTGCCCAGTCATTAGTACCATCCAAGGCCAGCAGGCTTTGCTGCATGCATTTTGCTGTCTGAGTTCAATGCATCATTCTGTTTTGAGGATTCCACCACAGAAGGTCCAGATCTTCCCATTGCAGCGAAACCATGCTTAGCAATGTCATTGTACCTGGATCAAGACGTTGTTTAGTTCAACTGAGATTGATCAGAACATAACTAAAAAGTTGAAAGAATAGACAAAAAAATTCAAATAAGATGCTTGAATAATATAAACACATAATAAATTGGAAACTTCACCATTCAGTTTAATTTTCAACTGATTATTAAAAAATTACAGGCTAAGAAAGTCCTCATGGATCTGACAGTTAATTATAGGACATAAAAAGGTCATATGTTGCAGGAATATGGATGATGAACTTCTAAAGAGAAAGAGATTTAACCAAAATAGTTTTAACCAATAGCTGTAGTAATCAGGTTAAAATGTCACAAGGGAGAAAGAAATCAAAATAGGACAGAATTAGAAAAGTACCAGAGATTGCTCAGAATAAAGCTGAAGACGTACAAGGGATAGAACCAAAATACCTGCAGATGATAATTAAACAAGGTAAGGTATCCGGTTTGCAAAAGTTAACTTTTCGTAACAAGGCAAAAATCCACAAGAAAAAAGAAATATTGTCTCATTTCTAAAAACCCTTTCAACATATCATATGTGTGCAGCTGCAAGAAAAGTTATCGCCTCAGCCATGATGGGAATAAAAATTAGAGTCTATATTGGGCACAAGATTAACAGCAGCTGCAGCAGCACATGGAGAAAGGGCAATGTCGTCAATGGTATAATTGTGAGTTGTGGGAATTGGGCTGTCATGATTATGCTGGTTGTAGCAATGAATCGGAGCAAGTGGTTCCAGAACCAAGGTTAGCGGTGGGGATAAGGAAATAGCAACAGCAGGCTAGGTGAAACTATCCATGACAATCCTCTGGTTGCAGACTATGATCATGATTATAGAATGTTATCATGCAAAAGGACAGATTGATCAGAATGACTGAATAAATTGCAAAGGTAGGAAGATTTGCAGGAGGGGAGTGGTGACTCACTTGGATTTGCCTCAAACACAAATCAACCGCAATTCCATTAAACCAAACAGTTTATCTGAATGCTAAAGGGCTGTAAAAGAACCTCCTTTACACAGAACCATAGCAAAATGAAAACTGAAATTCACATTGGAAGATGTCTGACCTAAAAGAAAACTTATAGATACTAAAACTAATGGGAAAACTAATTCAAAGCCATCAAATGGGAACAGTTTAAATTATATCAATGGTAACCACTTACATAAAATAGTTGTACGAGTAACCCACGTAAGAGGGAATAAAAATTTAAGACACCATCAAATGCAGACGTTCCTCCATAACTGATCTGCGAGCGTTGATCAGGCAATATCCATCGTAGTATTGGGATAACAACAGAGTTTAGGACAAACAAACTGACAAAAAAAACATGAGTTGAAAATACTTTATATAAATTCAACTATGCCATTCATCAACCAATTAGATATTCTGCAGAAAATAGAAAAACACAATTTCTCTGATAAAGCATTGAAAAAGAAAAAGAATTACCTTCCTAAGAAAATGAAACCATTTAAAAGAAAACACTGTCCGGTTCTAATTAAGAGCCGTCTCGACCTACCAAAGAAACCATTTAAATAAATTTAAAGATCTTCAAAAGCTTGAATAAACAATAACCCAAATTTCGAACTAACAGAAAAAGTAAATAAAAGCGAGAGGAAAAACAAAGCGTGAAAGGAAAAGCAATTGAGGAGAGAAGCAACCTGCGGCAAAGAACAATAACTCTGTGAAGACAACAAGCTTCTCTAAAACCATCCGCCCATAAAAACGATGCTTGTTTTAATGTCGTTCTCGTAATTTTTATTAACAGCTTTCTATCTTCCATTTTTTAGAATAATAAGCGGAAAGAGAAAGAGAACGCTTTCAACCTCTCTCCGAGAATTTTGACAGACAGACAAGGCTGAAGACTTTTGAGAGCTTTGATAAATAAATAAGCTAACTTTATTCTTTATTTTTAAAAGCCAAAAGCCTTAAATCTCATTGGTCCACGTGTGGGCTTACCTGGCAGTTTTAGAAGTTGGGTTTAAGTGGAGCAATCGAATTCGAAGTCATCATTAAACCGGCTTAGCTGCCGCTTCTCTACAAAATTCTTCAGCTTACGTGAACAAAGAAACAGAGGTATGGCGAAGCCAAGCAAAGAGCCTTGCAAGAAAGAGGCTTGCGATATCCAAGCTTGTCTTTCCAAGAACAATTTCCTTCCCCAAAGGTAAAGAATGGGTTCTTTTCGTTTTCTTTTCTTTTTCCATCCTGTGAATTTCTCAAGAAATTTAGAAGATGATTAAATATTGGGTATGATTCAGTTTGCAACATCTCCCCTTTTTCTTTTTCTTATTTGAATTTTCATGCTTGATGAAGGAACTTGAAACTTTTGTTGATTAATTCATTAAGAATAATCTACGATCGTATCATTTGATCTTTGCTGCTGCAAAATTGTTTTCAAAAATGGATGCTTGGGATCCCATTTGCGAACAAGAAAACTCTTTTAAGTTTCATTTCTGTTTGCGGCTGTCTTCTTCTGAAGCATGCTGCGAAGAATGTTACCAGAGCTACACTAATTTGAAAAAAAAAATATATGCCCTGGCCCTCACCTTCCTTTGACCCATTATGCTTTCGATTGTGTTTCAATCTTCTATCTGTTTTGATTTTGAATTTCTTCCCCTGGTCGTGCTGCAGCTGTTGGTTCCTTTTATTAAACCGTGTTGTTTCCTAATACATGTTTTCCAGCTTGTAAGCTTATTTACACCTTTTCTCTATCACCTGTATAGATCTTGGAATCAAGTTCTGAAGCAAAGGGTAATTTTCTCTCGGGATCAGTTTGTTTGTAAAACCTGGCATGTGTGTTATGATGGGAACCCATAATTTCACTTTCTGTCAATCCTGATTTTAGCTTTCTTTTCAAATGATGTAGGTGCCGAAAGGTGATCGAACTGCTTCAATCTTGCTGCGAGAAATGCAATTACGACTCCACCCATTGTGCTTCTGTGTCTGCTCTCTTAAAGCAAATAGCCAAGTGACATTGATGGACCTCCGCTCACACTGAATGCCTATTCGATTTGTCTGTTTACTTGACTTTTGTTAACGCAACTGGCATAAACTCAATTGTCATAGTTCATAGGACTTTTTCTGTTACTTTGGAAATTGGTATTCTCTATTGACTACAATAGATTTGAAGTTCCGGAGGGGGCACTTCACTTTCACAAACTGATCAACATCAACATCCTGTCACGCTGTATTTGCAATGAGCCTTGATATTCAAGCGATAGCTTCGCCTAACAATTGTGTAATAGATGCCTTAAATCTCTTTCAAAAGAGATTATGCATGTATTTGATTTGTCCAGTCTTCTTTTTTGCAAATGGTAGTTACTTCATTGAGAGTAATATTCCTTCTTATATTCTAGGAAAATGTATGATTCTCTTATCTCGAATTTTTCGTGCAATCTACTAAACCGAAATCATTCTAAGTTTTGCTAAATTAATTCTCATAATAAAGCCTAGTGAAAGAGAGAGAGAGAGAGAGAGAATGTCAATTGTACGCGTTTCAACTGCCATTTCAAACAAATGACTGGAGAACAGTGGATCTACCAAATGAAAAATGCGATAAGACATGCATGTATTTGATTCCTTTTGAGTTTTTCCCAGTTCACATGGTGAGAATCCACCCAATTGTTGGCAGAATAAAGCAAAAGATTACACAATGTATAATCACCATGCTCAAGATTACGTAGGCCATATTTCCTGTATGAACTGGGGGGGATAGCGTATACACGGCAAAAGCTGAAATCTATCGTCTCATCATGAAGCCAAGGGAAAAAAGAGCCACAGGAAATCTCACCTCCTCTAACAGCCTCCAAAAAATGAATAGGATGGAATAAGTTGGTCATAAAATACAAGTTGACATCGACGAGGTTTCTCCCCAGAAGCTATTTGAGCTTTGTAGGAATGGCCGTGATGACCTAACATTTCAATTAAGGCATTCTCAATGAATCCTGCCGTTTAAGAGGGATGCCTTCACCAAAGCCATCATCTTCTTCATGCTTTATCGACCGCAAAGACAAAGATGTTGTCAAACTTGGACCTGATTAAACATCATTCATCAAATGTTTAAATTGCCAAAAGTAACATGATAAATATTTCTTAACATCATAAAAGCTAATTTCAATGCCTACTTTGTTCTTCACCAAAGGGATGAAAATTTTGAACCTCCTGAGGATCTTTTATAAACGGTTATAGGGTTGACTGTCATGTTGAGCAAACCTTTTGAAGGATTGTTTGTGGGGTTATGGTGTTGGTTTATTTATCCTTTCTGTTCACTTGGCACATCAAGGACTACTGATGTTTTGCCAGTCCTCATCTGGAGGACCTTTTGTAGCTTTAAGCCCTAAATGCCTCTGCTGTTCGAAGTCTCTTTTATGGGACAAAGCTCAATATAATTTTACCTTTCAAAAGAAAAAAAAATAAAAGCTTCAACTAAGCAATGCTGCTATATGCTTCCTGTACTAACAACAGATGGACATTGCCCATTATGAAGGATCGAGAGAATAAATTAACAGTTAATTGAGAGAATAATTTCACAATGTAAGATTCATGAGAACATACCATCAACCATATCCTTGGTTTTGTGAAGAAGAAAAGTTCCTGAAAGGATAGTCACAAATCCACACATCTCTGTTATAATCTGAGTTGGATTCTGCCTATCCCAATCCTGATAACGGAAAATTAAACTTCAATAATGTATTTTCAAGGTCAATCCAAATAAAGAAAATTGCAAACTAGTAAGCAATCATTGTGCAAGTTGGTCAAATTTTTAATTTTTAAATAGGAAGACAGAAGATAAGGGAAGCAGCTCAAAGGGGTTAACAGCAAACTAAACCACCAGAAAACCACATAGAAGTTCAGTTTCATATGGTAACGGTCACAGGGTCACTATACGAAATTGAAGAAAGGAAATTGCAACTTAGGGGTCAGTTACAAAATCTTGAATGACCAAACAGTCCACCCTTGTATTCATAGATTTCCCCTTTCCTTTAAATGATTACAAAGCATATATAGGATTAAGCAATTCATTGCCCATTGTAGACAAATGAATTGAGATAATTTTTGAAAAGGGCTTCTAAGGAAAACAATAGATGGTGTCGAGTTAAATTTTTTGAATGTTCAAATTCAAAAGACTTTTGAACCATTCTGATACAATCAATGACTGGAAATTACCTTAAACATGATTACACTAGCCAAAATGGTAAGTGATGTGAACATAACATAGTATATAGGAGAAACAACAGCCGTGTTGAAAGTATCAAGCGCCTGCAATTATGAAGACAAAAATAAGAATTGGAGGGTGAAACAGAATTCTTAGATCAGCAAAAATAAGCAACACAAAATCAAGGTAATGGGCCAATTAATTCTCAGAGTATGTAAAGCACACATAGAAAAATTTCAACTGACTCAACCTAATGATTAATAACACTGTGAACAAGTATATCCATAAGCATAGAATTTAGAGACCAATGTGTTTGTTAACTTAGTGGTCTCTAAAAAATAGAAAATAACAAATACCCTTCCAATAAATTGTTCAAAATTTGAGATGGAGTGACTTTGAAGTAAGATGACAAAGTTTCATTCTTTTTTCTCTGCCCATTCTGCACACTTCACTCTTGTTTCTTTATTTTGAAGGATCACTTGAAAATTATTCGAAAAGAAAAGTGCAACTGTAGACATAAAGAGAGAAAACACAAAAGGAAGAAAAAACAAGGGGTAACCGTTACCTTGTTTAAATAATTCATTTGGGTAAGCACACAAGTAACCACAACTAAAGTAAAGGCCCATGTTTGCGGGTATATAAGCTGGTTCATTCCTGAAAAGGTTAACTTCAAGGCTATACCAAGTGCTTTAACACTCATGACCTGTCAAAGAACACTCTTAGATATTAAAATCTGTAAAAAAAATGCAGTATCATTGGAAATGCAAACAGAATTAAGTTACCAACAGCCTTAAACTGACGCATACCGAAATGGAACCCACAAGAGAGCAAACTCCAATGTAAACCATAATGTGTGTTTGTCCATATTGTGGAACAAAGTGGAATATAAGTATAAAGACAGCTGTTAAGACCAAAGCTGTGTAAAAGAGAAACCCTGCAAGAAGATCAAAGAGAAATTAAGGTCATTTTCTTCTTTGCACCACAACCATTTAGAGCATGATACAATGTTCAGAGCTAAAAACATTATTATTAACAAAATGTAACCTGGCTCTGTAGCAAGATCCCAAACTTCTGTTACAGATTCAATCTGACGTTCTGGGGGAGCATGCAAAACAATTGTTGTAGAGCCCACCACACACAAAACACAACCAAGAATTCCAAAAGTATGTAACTTTTCCCGTAAAATTATATGCGCAAGTGCCGCACTGCAAGAAAAAATAAAAAATAAAAAATTGCAATTAACACTAAAAGATAAACCAGAATTTTGAGCTACATATTTCCATGCCTGATAATGATGCTGAGAGCACCAAGAGGAGTGACCAATATAGCTGGTGCAAATGCATAAGCTGCAAAATTAGCAATTTCCCCCACGACCACTGTTGCAAAGCCAATTACCAATTAGAATTAACCACTTTTCCTTCTAGAATCATGAAGAATGAGCAACTCAAACAAGTAACTATATTTAAAAAGACTGCACAGTTTGGTCCCTAAACATTAAGATGTATGGAATGAAAGTAAGAAAATTATCTTTCTAAATATGCACAATAAAACATTAACAAGATCTCATACCATTTTTAATGGCTGCAATGTAGCTTTTAAAACATCATCTTTAAGTAATGATATTTGGAAAATAAGAAAAATGAGAAAAGGCAAATAAAGAAAGAGGTTCAATGAAAAATCCTTAAGATTTTAAGTTAATGATCAAAGAGAAATCCATAAAACTTACTTGTTATCATGCCGGCCCACCAAAGTGGCTCAAGCAAGTAAGAATAGCCTCCAACTCCTGTGTAAATACCAATAAAACCAATGTCATTGGCACTACATGAACACAAGAACAATACAAAATAAAAGAATGAAAATGAACAAGCACTAAATGACAGCAAATGCATCCCAAGAGTTCTTTAGATAATTGAGATAAAAAAATAATTGTGATAATTGCAAGACAACACAACAATTTGTGCAATAGTCACAGTCATGTCATAAACAGAAAAACTTTTTATCCAACAGCAACACAATATACACACAAAACCAACAATCATCTGGAATTGGAAATATCCAAGCATACCATTTTCTCCAGTTGCATCCCATAAAGACATTTTGTACCTTTACTTTTCACAGATTATGCATAGCTTCGTATCAAAGAATCTTGGACAGATTTCTAATAAATAAATTAAGAGAATTATAAATCAAAGATGTCAAGCAAACCAAGTGCAAAGGATGCATAAAAAAGTTATGATGAGAAAAAATAACTTGTAGATTAGTTTCCTCAAAACAATTTCCACACTAGATTGACAAGAGCTCAAATCAATTAATGCCAGCACTGGTGAATTAAATTCCCTGTGCAAATTGATTTACAACATGTACAGTTCACTCAATTTCATATTCTAAATTTAGTAAAATATTATTCACATAATCTCAATACACTACAGTAATCCAGAAAACAGTGCAAATCATTTTAAATCTAGTCCTATTTTCCACTACAGCAAAAAAGAAACAAAAATCCCAAGTCCAATCATCAGAAAAGAAAGAAGAGGAAAAAAAATCATATCAAACTTTGATCAATTGCAGTACCTGCCCTGATGCCAGAAGCACCGGCTTTCTTCAAGCCCTTTTTCTTAACAATGAAACTTCCCCCAATAAAAAAACTGGAAGAAAGCGCTAAAACCAAGCCCTTAACATTATCCGAGGACATGCCCTCGCTCCAGCTCCGCGCACCCGACATACTCTAACCTTACACTTAAAAATAAAAAACTTTTCAAAACCCTAATTCTCACGGGATGCCTCTATTCTACGTCAACTACAACTCGGCCCGATCCTCGATTTGCTCTGAACTTACACTGAGTCTCAAAGACGAGTTCATGGATCTCGCAAAAAAAATCACAAATTTACCCAATTTTTGGAGTCGGTTTAAACCGGAACCCGAGTCAAAATAACACGAGTAAACGGATCTTCGCCCAATTAGACAAATAGCAGCGAGAACGATGATATCCAGATAGAGATGGAGAGAGAAAGAAAGCGACGGTGGAATATCAGTCGGCGCAAAGAAATAAGACCAAAAAAAGAACGAATTAGAAAAGGATATTTACAATGCTAGCTAGGGAAGAATCTTGACTCGGTAGAAGCGGAGTGAGTTGGGGAAGAAGCGAGTGGATCTCGACTCCGAAGAGGGAAATGAACAAGTGTGGGGTTGTCGGCGCTGATAGATGGGTCAGATAGATGAGAGTTTGCTGAGTTGGTGAGACAGAGAAGAGCTACGATTGCTAAGGAGAGAGAGGTTTCTTGGAATGGAAGAGAAAGAGAAAGGGCGCGTGGGGGTCTGGGGTTTTTACCAGAACAAGGACTTCCCTCCGACTCTGGTTTGATTTATGACTGCTACGCTTTATCTTTTGCTTCTTCACCGCTCCTCGCTTTTATTTCTTCCCATTTGTCCCCTTATCCACCTTAATTACTTCATTTCATTATTTTCTCGTCTCTAATCTTTACCATTAGAATTTAATATTAAAAATTAGAATGAAATACTCTTATAAATAAAATAATTTATTTTAAATAATATCAGTATATAAGTTCAATTATTAGTTTATTTGTTTGATGATATAATAATATTTTTTAAATAATTTTATTTTCTATTAATTTTAAAAATTATTATATTATATAAATTATAATTTTTATTTTTTTTCTTATTTATAAAAAATAATTCTCTCCATCCTACTTTGACATTTCCATAGCCAGAGTGTCAAATCTAGCTTTGATTGAAGAGTGCAAAATCCCATATTCAATAGTCACATCCCGTTTATATAAGAGAATATTGTCGGTCGATTTGAAAAAATAAAAAATAAAAAAATGAAAAATAAAAAAAATATTTTAAATATTTCATATTTATTTGTTAACGTCATTTACATATTTAAGATGGATTGTTTATTTTTAATATTAATAAATATAAATAGAATTATACTTTAAACTTAAAGAAATTAAGATATTTTATTATAAAAGTTATTATTTATGATTATATTCAAATAGTAAGTACATATCACTATCCAAATTCGTGATGGATAGTGATATTATTATTCGGACCATATTATAAGATATTTTAATATTACTTAATTAAGTCAAATAATACGAGATATTCAATTATAAAATATTTATTGATATCTTTGTTTATCTTGATAAAATTTATAAATCAATAAAAAGATTTATTTGAAAAAATAAAGATTAATTTTACTATATAAAACTACTTAATCAAATACTCAAACAAAAAAATAAAAATGATTTTGTATTATATTATGTGGAGTTTTTTATATTACATAATTTGTTAGTATATAAACAAGAATTATAAATTGTAATTTATAAGTAACTTTTTCAATTTTATAAATTTCATTGTCGTTCTTATATTTATACAATAAAAAATTTAAAATTTTAACCTTCGAGTGTTCCTTCACAATGATTGGACTTGACTATTAGGTAATCATTTGTCAAATATTTGTAAAGTTAATTTACTAATTTAGTAAAATGAATATGGATGAATAGTTGGAGCAGATCCGATCAGATTTGATATTCTTTCTTTTTTTATTTATTTTTTGGTATGGTCCAGTAAAGTGACATCACAACATGTGCTGTATACTTGGATTTTCTTTTTTTTTCTTTTTACTAATTTAAATTTAAATATATTCTTGAACTTTTTTCTTATCAAATTTTCAAATATTAATTTTGGTTTTTGGTTTCGATTTAGTTATTTTTTTGGGTATGTACGAGTTTATAGATTATGAAAAGCAATTCAATTTAAAAATTTTGGGACAATATAAATTGATCGGGAATTGAATTTATGTATTAATTTAAAATTTTATTCTTTTTACATGATGTTTAATAATATTATTTTTTTGAATTTAATAAAAAAAGTTTGTTTCAAAATAGTTAGATTCAGCTATATAATCACAAGAGAATACCTTGGGATTTGAGGTAAAATTAATTTACTTTCAAAATTTAAAATTTTTTATTCATTTATTATTGTTATTATTTAATTTTATAAAATAATATTATTATTTTAATCATTCCACAAAATTAAAATTTGAATAAAAAAAATAAATATAAAAGAATGATTAAGATATACTCCAATTATTATAGGTTTGACCCAAGTTTACTGGGCCCAAGTCCAATCCAAAATGGGCTTGAAGTTGATCCGGCCTGCCTTGGCCTTTTCCTTCTTTCTTTTCTCTTTCCTATTTTTAATCAAAACGACGTAGTTTTCTCACTGATCTCTAAAAAGATATAATTTCCCCTTTCCTTCCTCTCCTCTCACCAATTCTAGCCGCCACCTGTCACTCTCCATTCCTCAAAAGTCAAATCTAGTTTTTCACCGCCGACGCCGACGTCGTTTCTGTCGCCGGTCCTTATTTCGGCGGCCTCCCACTTTCTCCCTTTCTTTTATTTTCCTTTCCTTTTTTTCTTCCTCTCATATCTCTCTCATTTCCTCCCTTTCTCTTCGTCTCTTCGCTCTTTAGCAGCCTTTGAACCTGCCTTTTTTTCTTCTGCAATATTTTTCGTAGAGAGAGAAACGGATAACTAAGGTTTTACATTGGAAGCCATAGAAATGTCTCTGTTGCAGCCGTATTTCCAACAATGCCTCTTCTCAGTCTCTTGTCCTTGTCCGTCGCTGTACATATCTGTCTCTAAACGAAGCTTCATCTCTTGTTGCTCGTCGCAGTCCCAAACGGCAGTCGTTAATGGCACACTCGATAGCAGAACCGCTGAAAGGGATGAGATTCGTCTCGGCTTGCCTAGCAAAGGACGCATGGCTGCGGATACTCTCGATCTACTTAAGGTGCTGGTTTCACAGTTTTAAGGTTTTGCCTCTAGCAATTTCAATTATTCTTTATCACATCCTATATTCTGACCCCTTCCAATTCTTCTGTATTTTCTGCAAAAGGATTGTCAATTGTCGGTTAAGCAGGTCAATCCCAGGCAATATGTTGCCCAAATACCGCAGGTTTGTCTCCCACAATTTGCATTGTACTTAGCACCTGTATATTGTTTATGTATGATTGGTATTCAAACTTTATTTTGTTTTTTTCCCAGCTTTCCAATTTGGGAGTCTGGTTTCAGAGGCCCAAAGACATTGTACGGAAATTGTTATCTGGAGATTTAGATCTTGGTATCGTGGGGCTAGATACTGTCAGTGAATATGGGCGGGTAAGAATTAAAGTATAGAATACTATCTAACTAAAGGCATCCTTTCCAGTGCTCTGTCATTATGAAAATGTTACACAGAATCAAAATATCTAATTCTATGCAGTGATTCTGTAATATGTAGATTCCAGCCTTGCAGATTATTTTTGCCATGCCAGCTTAGAGTTTGTTCTTATATGTTATTATGTTATTGTTTGAGTTATATAGAATTGACCTTGGATGTGATGGGGTTTATTCTAATAATGCACTTATCCTTTTCTGCCGATAAATGAGAAGAGTTGGCCTTGTAAAAATCAATGCGGATTAAAAAATTAATTGTTTCAATCATTTTTATCAGGGTGATGAAGATCTTATAATTGTTCACGATGCCCTAGAGTATGGAGATTGCCATTTATCCCTTGCAGTAAGTGTTTTTTGTTTCAAGTAAATAGCCAGCTTCATCTTCCTGATATCCCTGCTAGTGATGATTTGTGTTTTGTTTTTCAGATTCCTAAGTATGGGATCTTTGAGAATATCAATTCACTGAAGGAGCTAGCCCAGATGCCCCAGTGGACTATTGAGAAACCTCTAAGAGTTGCAACTGGCTTCACTTATGTATGACATGCACTTCACTAATTTCTTTAAATTATATTGCTTTTTGGAATTTATTTCTGGTACAATATGTTTTGGTTAGCTTATTTGCAGAATGTTTCTATTGGAATTTAATTTCTTTTCTGTCTTTCTGTACAGCTTGGTCCTAAATTTATGAAAGAAAATGGATTGAAGCATGTGATATTTTCAACTGCTGATGGAGCCTTAGAGGCAGCTCCTGCGGTGAGAATTAACTTGAGTACCTGCAATTTAGTTTTTTCTTTGAAATTATTTAAAATTGAAAGAGAGAGTTACTCATCCTTCTATCTTTCTATGAATATTATGCATATATTTGCCTTCCAGAAGGAAGAATACTGAATTTGCAGAAACTTCAGCCCTTAGTTTCTCATATGTCTCAGCTAATTTCTCTGTTATCATTTCAGTGCATAAGAACTTAAGATTATTTCCTGGATGTATAAACTATATATGCTGATCTCACTCTCCTTTGGATTTTAATCCTTTTCCTTTTTCTGATTTTGATTTAAATTGCGTAGGCAAGCATTATTTGATAGGTGATGAGCATGACCATGGTAAAAATGGTTTTTTCCCTGTGAAGGGTTAGATGATTAAGTTATGCTTGTACAAATGAAAAGGCAGTTGAGAAAAAGAAAGTAGTGATTGAAGGGCAGGGTTGTCTATTTGCCAAAACGATGAAAAGGGACTTAGCAAGCATAGAAACTAAGATGCTAAATAGGGGAATGAAGAGAAAGAAGCTTACCAGACAGTGAGTAGCTGAAAAAATGCTTCCTTACTAACAATTCCATTGTATTGAATTCTTATTCAAAGGGGAAAAAGCCCTTTATTAGTTGGGTAGTTGACCCTAAAGGCAACTCTGCACTGTTCTTAAAGTTGATGGAACTTGCTTAATTTGTCAAAAATGAATAACAGCTGACGTTTCAGATATAGCTCAGTTAACAATGTAGAAATTTACCTTGCTATGTTCTCCTATATTTTCCTTTATGTTTTCACCTGTTGATGCTTGACTGCACAAAATTTTGTTGCCTTATTGAAGGAAGTGACATCTGAAATGGAGTGCTACTGCTTGTTGATTAGCATGAAGCTATCTGGAAATGTAATGCTTTTGTTTATGTTCGTGATGTTTATAGAAATCACTTCTCTTTCTTGTTAATATAGATGGGAATAGCTGATGCAATTTTGGACCTTGTGAGTAGTGGGACAACACTGAGGGAGAACAACTTGAAAGAAATTGAAGGTGGAGTTGTATTGGAAAGCCAAGTAAGCAGATCTATGTCTTTTCCTGTTCATGCAACTTTCAAGCATATGATCTTTTAGTCTTGAGTATGCTGTTTGAAAATGATTTGCTTTTAGAAATTCTTGCCCGATCTCTTGAGTTCATTTTTCTTCAGGCTGTTCTAGTTGCTAGCCGAAAAGCATTAATCCAGCGGAAAGGTGCACTGGACACAACACATGAGATTCTTGAAAGATTTGAGGCTCATTTGAGGGCAATTGGCCAGTTCACGGTGCAGATATTCATGATTCCAATCATGTGGTTGTCTTTTCCTTTTCCTCCCTGTATTCTTATGGTTTATATGTGTTTTCTATGGCAGGTAACTGCAAATATGAGGGGTAGTAGTGCAGAGGAAGTGGCTGAGCGAATACTGAGCCAGCCGTCATTAGCTGGGTTGCAGGTGAGTTTTGAGATGATTTGGCTATCTGGATTGTTGCTTTTAGGATGGAATCAATACCAATTTTAATCTGAGTTGTGTAAAGATTTTCATAATGCTATTGCTACATTTGAGAAGGCTTTTAAAAATTTTTCATGTTTGTATTTGCAGGGGCCCACAGTGAGTCCAGTTTTTTTCATGCGTGATGCAAAAGTAGTTGCTGACTACTATGCCGTAGTCATATGTGTACCCAAAAAGGCTCTTTACAAGTCTGTACAACAGTTGAGAGCGGTAAGTTATGATAAGATATAATAAAGGCTACCTGTTTGATTTGGAAATTGTGGCCCTGTGATTACTCTGTTTTCAGCACTAGTTCATTCCTAATACTATTTGTTTATGGGATTTAAATTTGAGTTTTTACTTGTATTCAAATGACCATACCGCTGCATCTTGTGCATTTCCTTGCTTTAGAGAAATTTTCCCACTGCCGATGGCCTTTATGAAAAGATGAACTGTGCTTCTCTAGATTAGTTATGCGCATAATTTGTTGTCCTAAAATAAAGAAAAAGAACTACTTATTCAATCCATTGAGAATTGATCGGTTTGTAGGTGGATCAAACATGCCAGCTCTATTTTTAGGCTGCCTAAGCACCATGAATGCATACGTACTTCTTTCTAAAGAAAGAAAAATTTGTTGGGTTTATGGAGAATTGATGGGTTTTTAGGTGTATAGAGATTCCTTGTTATTTATTAAGCTTATAGTTACACTTGGTTATGTGCCCAAATACTTGTCCCTAAAACCTTCCCGTCTATAACAGCCTTCCCAACCCAAAAGAAGGGTGGGAGTTAACGATCAAGGATTTAATTTTTGCTCATCCAGGTCAGTGAATTTGAATGTTGTCTGGTGCAGGTTGGAGGTAGTGGCGTGCTAATTTCACCGTTGACCTACATTTTCGATGAAGAGACCCCAAGATGGAGAGAGCTTCTTTCAAAGCTTGGCCTTTAGTCCTTTCCAGTGGATGAATGGGTGGTTTACTTGCATTTCATATCAATGCTGAAGAATTTTTTAGCCCTTGGGATTCCTAGGTGGTTTGAAAACTACTTTGGCGGGAGTTAGGACCACCAAAGTTTTGTATTGTGCTTTCTTTTTCTCCTGTACCTTGTTTCTTTTACCTGCTTTTTTCCTTCCCCATTGTAACCACAAGGATGATATAGAAAAGCTTATTTTCCTTCTGATTGTGTATGACTACTGGAAATAATCTGTACCATTACTAGTTTGAGATTTTATGGAAATGCAGTCACTGGATTTATATGTAGTCTGTTAGTTTTTCTTCATATGAAATCTCTCTGCTTGGTAATTTGCATTACATCCTCGAGGAAATAGTATACAACAAAACATTTCCGGAATCAAAGCACAAAAAGATACAGGAAAATAGCAGGTGAAAGCCAATCAAAGGAACTCAAAGAAAGGAGTTGTCAAACTCGTACTTGGACTCCCAACCATATCTTTTCCTCTTCGGTCTTGTGACTCTACCTCAAAGAAGTCGATGAATTTGGGTTCTTTAACTGGCACATGTGGCTTCAGACAAATAAGTTCTACCATTTTCGAACCAACCCTATCGGTAAGGGGTAGGTCATTGAGTCTTCCCGTCTGGTTGTATGCCATGGCCTGATCAATGCTGTGGGAGGTTACAGCGGAAAAGGGTTGGTCACGGAGCCCTTCCGTCTGGTTGTATGCCATGGCTTGATCAGTGCTGTGGGAGGTTACAGTGGAAACGGTTTGGTCACGAAGCCGGTCCGTCTGGTTGTATGCCATGGCTTGATCAGTGCTGTGGGTGGTTCCGGTTGGCACCTTGCCGATGTTCCTCGTGGATCTATCACCGTCATGGCTCAGAATGGAAGGCGAAAGAACCCCAGGTGACTGCTTTCCTTTCTTTATCACTTCAATTCTGTAGAGCCCCGTACCTGCTTTGTCCTGAATTTCGTGAAGTACCACTCTATCACCAATCGCAAGCTCCCACCGGCGGACGAACGGAAGCCATCCCTTACTCAGAGCCGGCTTTGGATAATCTTTCCCCTTCCTTGTAGAACAAACAAATGGCCAGACGTCGCCATTCTCGTCTACGACCTTAAACCCCACCTTATGCTTGTTTCCGAAATCCAGGAAACATTTTTTATTCACCGTCGGAACAGACAATCTCTTCTCGACATCTGTCTTTGTAAGAACCTTGGACAATACTGCCATTGCTAAAGGCAAAATGGGAATGAAGAGCTAGCTTGACAGGGCTATATATAGAGAGAAACTGTGGTAAGGGTCGGTACTGTGATATAGCACGAATCAGATTTAGTGGTCATGATCGCTCAATTCTTTTTTGTCTTATAATCCAAAATGTTCAAATGCAGACACCAACAGCAAGTTTACAGGGTAGCTTGATTTCATGATACTCTGTTTTGTTCGCGCACATTGTCCTATCCGTATCGCACGGTTCCGCTAATATGGGCGCGAGGCGTCGCTCTCTTCTTCTTTATCGTCCAAAAGCCAGTACTATCACTTGATAGTGATATGGGGCGAATCGGAACCACATAATCAACTCTCTATTTTATAATTTAAAGCGCCTAATCATGCTCCTCTCTTGCTACAAATTTGATGAACTTGGTAAAAAAGAAATCTGCCAATGGATGTGTGGTATCGCTCGATTTTTGTGCTCAATCGGTCGGTTCTGTTTCGGTCGCCTTCCGATTCTCAACGAGCCGTTTGAAGTAGGATTAATTGGTCTTCAATAAAAGACAAAGGTAGTCGACTGATGGGGGCTGCTTGCTCGACTATCAGCCCACCCTGCAGTCTTTCTTTCACTTTGTGCGAGTCAAAACTACGAGAAACAATGACCGCCGCCCTGGCCCCACGGAGAAAACAAAAAAAATATTTGTCTAATTAACTTTTTGTTTTACTAACTCCAAGAAAACTGAAAACGGTGGTCCACTACATCTTTTACGTGTGTCTGAGTAGCAAAATTATTATTAGTCACGAATTTGGATAAAATTTAATTATTTATTATACAAATTAGATTACGTTATGAAAAAAGATATGAATGTTCATTATGTTATGATTTAAGTATAAATTAAGTCAAATAACCTAATAGATCAGATATAAAAAATGTAATATGATTTAAACTCTTAAATAAAATTAAATTGAGATTATAATTTAAAAAGTTATTAAGTTATAAATTGATCCCTTATTTCATTTGTAAATACATACTCGAATAAGGATTTTTTATTCCTTTTAAAAACTTTTTTATCTCTAAATATTTTTTATTATATTTCTCTTATAATTGTTCTTTTTAGATTTATTTTATAACACATTATCAGCACGATTCTATAATCTTTCAAGTTTTAAAATTATAGAATTTCAATGATTGAGTTTTGATTTTTGATTTTAGAAAATCAAATAAGTGACTTGATATCTTTTTAGTATTTTCATTCCTTAAAAATCAACCTTAATATGAATTTTATTATCACGTTGTATATATTATATTTTATCTCTTGATTGAAAAATGAATTTGTCATTGATAATTATTAATGAAAAATTATGAATATTCATTTCCTTAAGTAAATATGATAAACGAACTATTAATAAAACAATTATAAATTCGTCCATTCTATGAAGTGAATGTGACATTATTTAATAATTATAGTCATAGTTATGAATCCATCCATTCCTTAAAGTGAATGCAACATTATTTAATAATTATGATGGTCATAACAACTTACATTATCATTATTTTAATTATAATTTTATCACTAAAAATGGATGGATAATTTTACCACAAAAAGTGGATGAATGTCGTAACTCACTAACTCAACAAAAGTGAATAACTCATTAAAAAAAAAGTGGATGAATAATAAAAAGATAAAAATTGAAAGAATAAAAAAGATATAGAAAACGTATTGTCATTAATATAGCATAAAAAACCATTGATTATATACCTGTTGTACATCTTAAATTTTATTATAACTGAAAACTAAAACATTTTGTGATGATTTTAACCATGACCAAGTTGATATAGCACATCAAGATATTTGTCCACCCTCAAAGAGGAATTGATTATATGATTGGTAACGAAAATATCCGTTAGTGATTTTCTTATCCTGAAAAAGGAATTGATCATTTAATTGGTAATGGGAATATCTAAGAATGAACTTAATAGTAATTGGTATATTTTAGTATAACTTTATTATGAAGATGTTTTAATATGTTCTTATTATATTTAAATGATATTTTCTTAT